GAACCAGAGGGGGTCCTGGACAGAACTGCCATGTATCTAGCAGGGAAGTTTTTTCTGTGCTGGGCTTCTGTGATCTTATGGGTAAGGGTGGAGCGCAGCGTATGACTACCTGTTGGTGAGGAGGAGCTGTGCTTGTTGTGTGGGGGAACTACAGCTATTTCTGGAAAGACTCCAAGGCTTAAGGTTCCTTCTAACACATTTGGTCTCTGTTGACACATGAGTGTCTTAAAAGCATATGTCAATATATAAACCACAGAGGCAAAAAGACATGGATGAAAAAATAAGTTCTGCCTGTGTTAAATCAGAGGCAGTTGAAGGAACCTGGCCTTTCAGAGCCCTCTTTTCAGGATGTCGCACAAATAACTGACCCAAATGCTTTGCTTGCTTCTGATTTAGGAAATGGAGCCTTACTTACCCGTAACAAGCAAGTGTGCACGCTCATGTCTGTCTGGAGCTACCGTCCTGTTGTGGGTGAGCATATCATCTTCTGATCTGATTTACAGAACTTCCATCTACCCTGATCCATCCATCTTTCTCTCCATTTTTGCATCTGGAACGCCTAAGTATTAATAAAAAAAATAAGCTTTTAAATGTGTTTTGTCAAACTAAAGGTGATCAGTCGAAGAAAAAACAAAACAATCAAGCGTTTCACAGTTGTGGCAGATTAAACCAAACGGTTTCATTCTCATTAATCCTAATTTCCTCGTGTTTCTAAACTGGTCAGACGAAACACATGGAATGAGTTGGATCTGTTCGGATGCAGCATATTTTACAGACAATCTGCTTTGATGTCAGACAGTTTTCCTGTGCAATAGAGTTGATAGGGCAACATGGGAATTACCCCAGAATCGCTTTTATGAAGAGAATAACTGCCTTTATAAAAGAAGGGGAGCTTATTCTTCATCATATATAGAAAATGATACATAGAGAACAATAAAATGATATGGAGGAACAGGGAATTAGATTGATGACTGGATCAGCCCTGACCGTGTGTTTGCTCATTAATTTTGCTTCTGCTCGTTAACTATTGCACCAAGTTTACACTAAAAGTAACAACAAAGGGTTTTATACAATGTAAAACAGGCAGGAAGACTCAGAGTTCATTTCTAAAATATCTATCAGGTGTTTAACCCAGAAGCAGCTGGTGGAGTTTTGTCCAGTGGGGGTTATAAATTCAAAATGGGCCAAAAACCAATCAAATGTAAAGGTGTAATAAGTTATCACACCAGTATAGTTATATGAATGCCAACAAGACAAAAAAACATTAAAAAAACATTTTATTAAAACAAAACATAATTTCATGTACAGGTTTACTTTCTGTGCATAAATCTTGCCGTTCTGAGGCTGTGAAGGTAAATCTGTGTTTTGCATGATCCAATATTCAATTCTATTCAGTTTATTTCTATAGCTCCAATTCACATCATGTCATCTCAGGTCACTTTCCAGTTCACCAGATCATCCAGTCAGATTGATTCAAAGTTTTCTATCTAAGGAAAACCAGCTGATTGCATCGACTCATTGACTCTTCAGCAATCCCTCACACTAAGCATGCTTGTAGCGACAGTGGAGAGGAAAAACTCCCTTTGAACAGGAAGAAACCTCCAGCAGAACCAGGCTCAGTGTGAGCCGCCATCTGCTGAGGCCCACTGGGGTTCAAGGAAATAGAAGCAGACATAGAAAAAGAAGCATAGATACAAAAGGCAACTGTCAACCAGCTCCACAGGCGGCCCCGTCCAGGAAACACACAGCCAGGCAGACGAGCTCCGAGCCAGCTCCCATGTCAGAGGATGAAGAGAGCACAACCAGTCAGTCACAGTCAGAGAAACAGGACTACACTGGAAAACAGGCCAAGCTCCAACATCTAGAAACAAAGGTGTTGATGGCAGCAGCACAGCTGATATTTCTCTCCAGGATGGAGTCACAAACCTAAAAAAAATATGTACCAGTTTAATAATGGAGGAGCTATTAGTCAGCTTTATATTTTTTTTATATATAAAAACTATTTTCTGAGAATGTGCTTATTTAAGATCAACTATGCAAATGAACATTTAGTAGACTATATTCTATTATTTTCCATGTGAATCCCAGATTGTTCGTTCTTCTTTGCCTTTTCTACAAAGTGCTTTAAATCAGTCCTAGCTGTCTTTATCCACGCTGGATCTGATCCTGATGTTTGAAAAAGGAGGCAGGGAAAGCAGGATAAAGCCTTAGCCTCGCTGCATGCAGTTAGCCTCGCTGCATGTAGTTAGCCTAGCCTTGGAGCTAAACCAGGTCCTGGAAAAGGACGTGGGGTTTTTTTTTCTCTCTTTCTCTCTCTCTCTCTACTCCCACGACTCAACCTGTCAATCATGACATTGACATTAATTTTTGCCATCAAAATATAAATTTTTTTTTTTTTATTCCAAAAAATAATAAGCTCCTGTCGTCCACTAACACTCTTGGCGTGACGTGGAGTGCCCTATAAAGGGTTAAAGTGAAACCAATGGAAACACAGATGTAAGACACTTCTAGAAAGGAAACTATATTTTCTATGGCATTTTGGAGAAACATCTGTTTCATTCAGCCTGTTAAACGTTAAACGTTGCTCTACTCCAAAAATCAGAGTAGAGTAAATTATTTTGCTTTTTTGTGTTTGAAACATACCAGATTTAGAGCTTTTAGTAGCCCTTTGCAAGGCTTTACGTAAAGTAAAAATCTACTTTCTGTTGAAAATATATTCACTAAGACTGCTGCGTTGGTCATGCTAACCGTGCTGCTGATAAAGACAAAATATTTCCCAGATTTTTTTTTATTATTTAATTAAAGTAGAAATACCCATTCTCTGACAAAGTGTGATGTTAGATCTGCTCCTAATGCAAAAGATATGACATCATTTGGTAGAAAGGTTATAAAATATGTAATATGTTCTTATTTTACAGCTAATCTAAATGATCAAGATTAAAAAACAGCAAGTCAGATCAGAGATTCGATAATGAATATAAAATTATCATCAGTGCATCTCTAGTTATGCTGTTTGCTCATAAAATTGCATTTCTCCTAACATCCATGTTGCTGCATAGATTTGTGTTTTTACCTTTTTATGAAGCTAGTTGATCTCAGTTTTCACAAATACATGTGATCCACAGATGCACAGAACAAGAGAAGTACACTTCTCTGCAGCAAACAGAAAGGGGCGGGGACGGACCACTGTCAGTCTCATACCTTATATGGAAATGGGACCATTTCATTCCGGAACTGACGGGGGCGCTAGTGACACTATTTCCTGTACCGACCGTTTCATAATAATTATAATAATAATAACGTATTTTATTTGACAACGCCTTTCAAAACACCCAAGAACACTTTCAACATTAAAAATACTAATTAAACAGTAAAGAAATGGCTACAAAACGTGATATGTCACGTGGTATGTCCCTTTTTTATTTTGAAATCTTTATTTACAATTATATTAGTAACAAACAATCTAAAATAAGCAACAATAAGGAATCATTATGGAGATGTATTTATCTATCCTTACACCCTATATATCTCTAACAAAAGTCATAAAAAATAAAATAAAATAAATATTTTGGAGACAAATGTACATTACATTAAGAGTACATTTATCCATCCATTAATTTTTATGAATTATCCTCAAGTGGGGTCATGAAGGCTGCTGACCCTGGACAGATCCCCAGTCCATCATTGATTAAGATAACAGATATAAACAAATACATGCTGGTGCTGAAGTTCAAATAATATATTTTGATGTTGTGAACGGTACTCTTAAAATAAATAAGTTAAAATCTAAAATATAATAGCCTTTGCCTTATTTAATAAGAACTAGATGGAAAAGAGGTTTGATCTGTAAAACATTTAGTCGGCAATTTTGGCCAACTTATGTATTTTTAATGTTGAAAGTGTTCTTGGGTGTTTTGAAAGGCATTGTCAAATAAAATACGTTATTATTATTCAAACTTCTTTCTTTCTTCTTCCTTTCCTCTTAACCCCGCGTCGTTAAGGCATTTATACTAGTGATTATGAAAATAGCGCCCCCTTCATTTCCGGAATGCAATAGTCCCATTTCCAAATAAGGTATGGGACTGACGGAAAGGTCCTTTTAAATTCACTGCATTTCTGTATGGATTTTTGAGGTTCCCTTGGCGTGCCTCCATACATAAATGCATTTCTTTAAACAGGATGTTGTGCCACCAGTCACAAAGCTCCCTATTATAAATAAGCCAATTACAAGAAAGCAAGATCCCACATCCTCCATATCCGCCTCGCTCTGCAAAGCCTGCTCTCCTCTCCAACTTCCTTGGAGCTCAAGGAGAGCGTGCGCTATATTATTATTAAATTAATTGGAGGAAAAACATGCGGTAATTAATTTAATATGACATAATTAAATCTCACCATCAATATCAATCACACACGTTTCTGCCCAAACATTTTCTTTTAGTTGTGGATCTTTGCATAGGAATAATCACACAAAATCTCGTCATCCAAACTCAGCATCTGGTCATCCATTCCTGCCATAAGAAGTTTCTTTTGAAGTCTTGAGATGGAAGCTGCTGTGACTGAATTTGATTAAACTTTTAAGCCTTTCAATATAAAATATTGACCAAGATGAGAAAACTGCTTCCTGGTATGTTGAAGTAACAATAGTTTGCATCCAATAATTTAAATACACAGCCTTATTTTTGGGAATATAAAAGAATTATGTTCTAATTTCTACATGCCATATTTCAATTTGACAAAGCGGATTTTCTCGACGTTTTGTGCTGTTTGGTGAGATAACAATTAAGGCTATTGACCCGGTCGGAGCTTCACAAGGGAGCTCTGTGATTGGTGGCAACTATTCCCTGTTTTAAATTAAAATGCATTTGTGTATCGAGGCACAAGGGAGTCTCAGAAAGCCACACACAAATCCAGTTATATTTATTATTTTGATCACACAACGAACATACAAATAAAAAGGAACAAAGTAAACTAACATGAACATGTCTGGGTAGCACCTTCTTTTCAGTTTTTCTGTTTATATAATGTCCGTTTTCCCTTTTTTTTCCATCTGTGGTTCTTCTAGTTTCAGTCCATCCATTGGTCCTTTGATGGCACGTTTGAGTTCCCCCATTTCCTTGTTATACATTTCTTTGCAGCTATCAACATCACTTTTACCAAATAGTTATCCTTTTCATGGATAGTATCATCTACGGTGACCCTGAAGTGCACACTGCAACTACAAATCTAAAAGCGCAACTACATTAAGGAAATCGCAACTACATAAAGCAAAGCGCAACTAGATTAAGAAAAACAAAACTACATAAAGCAAAGCGCAACTACATTAAGGAAAACACAATTACATTAACCTACCGGAAAAGGTAGGTACCAGTGGGAAACATGAGACATCGCTGATTGGACGACGGCGCCGTTTGACCCTTGAACCGGAAGTTGCGTCGTCTGAACAGTCCAGCTTCTTTTAAGTGCGTCTTCAGTGTACGCAAACTAACTGAAATTTCGTGATTAGTCTTGAGCATATCCAGTATCACCTCGTACGTATGTCCTGATTCAAAATATTCCTGGATAACGGCAGCTATGTTTGGGGCGCCGACAATATCCATGTTTTCAAAAGCCGCAGCAGGCAGAATGACTTCCGGTTCAAGGGTCAAACGGCGCCGTCGTCCAATCAGCTATGTCTCATGTTTCCCACTGGTACCTACCTTTTCCGGTAGGTTAATGTAGTTGTGTTTTCCTTAATGTAGTTGCGCTTTGCTTTATGTAGTTGCAATTTCCTTAATGTAGTTCCGCTTTAGATTTGTAGTTGCAGTTTGCACTTCAGGGCCACCGTAATCATCACCAAAATTGCACAAATAGAGAATTTCAGGTTTCATTGGAATTACATACCCTAATACTTCACATAATACACTGTAAACCATTTCCCAGAACTCCAAAAGTTTTGAACACTTCCAAAAAACATGGGAATGGTTGACATCTATCTATCCCCGCACTCTCTCCAAATTCCAGTGATGTTTAAAGAGCACCGGTACTTTGTAATTTAATTTAGAAGTGTTAATGGACCAGAAATACATTGGTGAATCCTTTTCTGCCCATGTGTGGATCTTGTGTGCTTGTGTGAATCGTGCTATGCATGTGTGGATCTTGTACTGTGCGTGTGTGGATCACGTTTATTTGTGAAAATTGAGACTGATCTAGTTCCATACATTTTTGATGCAGTTTTTTATTTTCTCAGTGTTTTTGTTTGGTGCCGTCTTTCATGTTTTTGTCTTTTCTGTCCTAAAGATCTCATTGATCATTGCCTGCATCATTGGCGTAATAGCTTACCGCTTGGCGGTGTACGCGGCCTTCGCTAGCATCATGAAGGACAGCCCCACCAATCACCTGGAGGTGGTCGGCCCCTACATTACTCCCCAGCTGGCCACCTCTGTCACAGCCTCTTGCATCAACTTTGTCATCATCATGATCCTCAATCTTATGTATGAGAGAGTGGCTGTTTGGATCACTGACATGGGTGAGGGGCCAAAGCTTTAGAACTTTACTCAATCTCCATGGTATAAAAAAATCTACATGGAACTCTGTATTTTGTTATCATTTACAGAAATCCCAAAGACCCACTTGGAGTATGAGAACAAGTTGACGGTGAAGATGTTCCTCTTCCAGTTTGTTAACTACTACTCTTCCTGCTTCTACGTGGCTTTCTTTAAGGGCAAGTTTGTGGGCTATCCTGGAAAATATGCCTACATGTTTGGAAGCACCCTAAGAAACGAAGAGGTAACGTTTAACTTTGCTGCGTGTGTTTTGGGCAGAGTTGGATTATCTTCCATGGTTTTCTTGATCTGTGTGTTTCCAGTGTGACCCCGGCGGCTGTCTGATTGAGCTAACAACACAGCTGGTGATAGTCATGACTGGGAAACAGGTGTGGGGCAACATTCAGGAAGCTCTGCTGCCGTGAGTATGGAAACTTTAGAGAATCGCATTATTTGCAAATGCAATTTGGCTTAACAGACCCTAAAAAGACAGACATTCGTTAATCAAGCTAATTAGATTAACCCTTGTTTAGGAGGCTTGGACTTTAGTTCAGAAAAATCATTTACCGCCAATCAGACATGGGCAATGTGGAGTCAACAAGTCATCTCCATGTCATGTATTTGTTCTACCCTGCCACTGAAGCAGGTGAGTCCAATCTTCACCGTGAATTAACCTGTGCAGATTGGACTCACCTGGTTAATTGGCTGGCTAGATTAAATACATGACATGGAGATGACTTGTTGACTCCACATTACCCATGTCTGCCGCCAATTCACATCATGTCATCTCAGGTCGCTTTCCAGTTCACCAGATCATCCAGTCAGATTGATTCAGACCAGCTGATTGCATCGACTCATTGACTCTTCAGCAATCCCTCACACTAAGCATGCTTGTAGCGACAGTGGAGAGGAAAAACTCCCTTTGAACAGGAAGAAACCCCCAGCAAAATCAGAATCAGACGTACTTTACTAATCCCAGAGGGAAACTACTTAAAAACAGTGCGTCCCGGTGTGAGCGGCATGATTAAAAACACGAAAAAAAGCACAAAAACTCTCTGAAAAAAAAACCTCGTTATAGAGGACAATACTTACCGTGAAAAAACAAGAGCAATCAAAAAAGGATAAAAGTAAGAAAGTTAAAAAGTAAACTGAAGCGTTGTGACTGCAGCATGCTGCCTTTCGCTCATGCACACTTTTTCGAACCAGGCTCAGTGTGAGCGGCCATCTGCTGAGGCCGACGGGTTCAAGGAGACAGAAGCAGACATAGAAAAAGAAGCATAGATACAAAAGGCAATTTCTTAATATAACTGTTGAGCCTTGAGTATTGAGAAGAAGCATTATAATAAGAATAATAATGAATTTTATTTATAACGCACTTTACATTTGACTTCAAATCTCAAAGTGCTACAAAGTGCTACATTTAAAAAAAGGGAAAATTAAAACAAGTTTAAAAGACCATAACATTAAAAACAGAGTAAAAAGACAATCATTAAAATCAATACATTAAAAGGCACACGTAGCCTATTAAAAAAATAGGCTACGTGTGCCTACAAAATGCCTACGTAAAGTAGGCATTTCTAAAAAGGAAAGTTTTAAATCCTTTCTTAAAACAATCCACCGTCTGTGGGGCCCTAAGGTGGTCTGGGAGGGCATTACACAGACGGGGAGCTGCGGCTTCGAAGGCCCTGTCGCCCATTGTTTTTAGCCGTGTCCTGGGTGGGGCCAGACGGTGCTGTTGGCCTGACCGGGTCCGGGAAGAGGTGTGTGGTGTGAGCAGTTCAGTGAGATAGGTGGGGGCCGCACTGTGCACACAATGATGGGTGTGCAGAAGAATCTTGTACTCTATACGGGCGTGGATAGGGAGCCAGTGTAAAGTGTGAAGGATGGGAGTGATGTGCATTATACCCTTTGCTGAAGTTAGGAAATATTACGTTGCCAGGTCTATTGACATCATCTGATTTGTTTTAATGTTCCTGCAAAGAAAAGCACAGATGGTCTAACCAATTTTAATGATGAAGTTATTCTTATTTACTGATTTACCTAAGAAATGTGACAAAATAATATTCTAAAAATAAATATTTAATTGTATTGGTTTGGTAATTCACTTTATCATTTTGCAAGAACAGTAAACGTTCAACCGACCAATGGTAGGGAAAAAGATTATGTTCTCATTGTCCAGCAGGAATTAGGACCTCAATGTTATAGTCATGATATAGTAAATATACCATATAGTTATAGTTTACTATACCATGGTCATAATAAACTATAACCACCATGTTACTGGGCTTGATAAGCCAGCAAACTGTTCTGACCTTAACTCCACGGAGAATCTATAGAGTGATGTCAAAAGGAAGATGAGAGACACCAGAACCAAAGATGCAGATGAGCTGAGGGGCTTTTATTAAAGCAGCCTGGTAGAAAATCAGATGTCAGTCTACTTCTTATCTGAAAGCTATACTGTCAGGGTTGGGCTGAGGTGTTGAGGACCCAAATGCCGAGGTGAGGAGGCAGAGGTGAGTTCCTGTAGATTTAATGAAATATCCGAGACAAAATCCAAAAACCAAAGTACAAAAAACAAGGAACCAAAGACCAGACTACTTTGGGGGAAAACTCACAGGTGGAGCCAGGGAAAGATGAGGAACCAGCACCGAGGAACTGTGCAGGGAGAGTATATATAGGAGCCAGAACAAAGGCAGGACTAACGAGCTGATTGGGAGCAGGTGTGAGGAGAGGAGTCTAGAAAGGAGCTAGGGAAAAGGAGACCAACACAAGAGGGCAACAGAGGGCTATCAAGCAATACCCAAGAAGTCAAATGCATCCAGAAAATACCACAAAATAGCAATTAAACCAATAAAACTAGAAAACAAAGAAAAACATGGATCAAACTGAAAACTCAAAAGAAAACTTAAACACAACTAAAACCGTGACATAAACATATGTCTAATGTTCCATTAGAGTTAAACACGACCTCATCATGGCAGCTATGGAAATGTTGAAACCAAAGGTATCTTTGGGGTTTGTATATTTTTTTTCAGTTTGTGTTGCTCCTGTCATTAGTTCCCTTAAAGCTCTCTACTGCCCTCTTGTGTCCTGATTAGATGGGTGATGAACTGGTGGGGCAGCAGGAAGGCACGGAGCCATCCAGAGAGCCTGTACAGTCGCTGGGAGCAGGACCATGACCTGCAGAGCTTTGGACAGCTGGGCCTCTTCTATGAGTACCTGGAAATGGGTAGGAATCAGAGACTGAGACTGGGGGGGTCTAAAGGGGGCCATTTTGTTGTAGCCAAATTTACTTTGTAATGTATTAAACTATATAATATAGCTTTGGTTATAATATGATGATAATTTTAAACTAAATCATGAGGAGAAGTGTTGAAGTGCATGAATCCTCCAGGGGGTGCTGTTTCTTAGCTCTGCCTCTGTCTCTCACAGTGATCCAGTTTGGTTTCATCACACTCTTCGTGGCTTCCTTCCCTTTGGCCCCCCTCTTGGCTCTTCTCAATAACATTATTGAAGTCCGAGTGGACGCCTGGAAGCTCACCACACAGTTCAGGCGTCCTGTGGCAGCCAAGGCTCACAGCATCGGAGCCTGGGAGGAAATTCTCAACGGGATGGCCGTACTGTCTGTAGTCACTAATGTGCGTTTTTAGCAGGACTTCCTCTCAGGCCGTTTGGGTTGATTTATATTCACTTAACCAACCGTTAATATAAACAATGCTCTGCCCTCAGGCTTTCATCGTGGCCTTCACCTCTGATATGATGCCTCGGCTGGTGTACATGTATGCTTACCAGCCGCAGGGCGAGATGAACATGAAAGGGTACATAAACAACAGCCTGTCTGTGTTTAACATCTCTGAGATCCCAGATCGCAGCAGGCCTGAGGAGGGAGAGAACCCGGCATGGTTTAACAGCTCCATCACTACTTGCAGGTAAAAACACTCAAAAGGAAGAATAGAGGATGTCATATTATACCCTGCTTAGCTGAGCTTTCTATACTCTAGGCCAGGCCTAGCCTTGAGTCTAAATAGTTGTATCTGTGACTTATGAGCTTGCTTACGCCGTTCATGAATGCAGCGACATCCTTGTTTCAATCACTGATCTCTATTTATTCACTGCATTGCTGATTGTCCGTTGGTAGTACAGGGTTGAAGTGAAGGCACCGGCCGCCATATTGGTACTCCCTAGTTAGAACGGTCAGAATGTAAACAATCCGTGCGCTGCAGCATCGAACAACGATGATGTCTCATTTTCAGAGGAACTAAAGACTTTTAAAGTAAAGATAAATTCATCACTTTGACACAGTAGTAGATCATCAGTAGATTAACTTAAACTTAGAATAAAAAATATAGTCACATCACATTGCAGAGTCATTATGAAGTCAAACAAGTCTATAAATCAAGTAATATAACATATTATACAAGTAAATAACAATAAAATTAATGTGCTAACGGAGCAGAATAATATTACAGATGAGCCAAAAGTGATAAACTAATGATGAACATGTAATATTAATGTATTTATTACCTTGTTACGGTAATTACATCTTACATGTCTAATAATGCATGCTACATAAGAGAAACACAACAAACACTACAGAAACGACAGGGACATCTATTTAATAATGTATTACTAGATGGAGTTTTAATAGTGAATTACTTTCTATTTACTCTTTCTATTTTCTTCCTGTCAGCTCTAAGCACCTAAAACATCATAAATACATACAGGGAAAGAAAAAGGCACAGAGACAATTAATTTTACTCGCAATTTATTGAAATCAGTCTCAGTAAACCTGTCCTCTAAATCTCAGGGTTCAGTCAAAGTTTAAGTTGTTGTAGCTGTTGACCATTGTAATTCCCCCCAGGTACAAGTGGCTTTCTCTACCGATGGATTTATTGAATCTTGCTTGTTCAGACTCATAAACCACATAAAAGGCACAAACAATACAATAATTAGCTTACAAAAAATAAAGACAATTGACAAATATGACGACTGCCACAAATAAACAGACTTAATACCTCGTTGGCTGAGTACCAGAATAGAGTGGAATTATTCTTGGTTTTCTTCTTTCTTGGTTTACTTAAACTTTGTGACCGACCTGTGACCGACACATGCGTCAACTCTCTCGGGAGATTGCTTCTTCTTATGAAAACTAACCTCTACTCTGCATACAAAGCCCCTCCATGCGCCACCTGGTGGCGCATATCCACAACAGCAATGAAATACACACAAAAACAGGCATATATGAAAAAGTGGCAGCAACAACCATAGTGGAGCAGGTTTAGTGCAGCTCGTAAATCAACCACAACCTCCCCAAAAGCAAGTCCACAAATCACAGTATACTTTAGAAAAGGTGGCTATGATCCCATCAACAAAGCCCACAGCTTTATGCATTATAACATTACACAGATACATTTATATATAATTGTCTTCCAGTCAGTCTGAGATAGCCAGACTAATGTTAGGCTACAGACTATACTACAGATGGATTTATTGGTTAGTTCATCCACTGACTGGGAAATTACCTTTTGAACGTCGTCCCACAGATGGTAAACTGCTTGTTTTTGCAGCCAAATGCTGCACAGGGAGGCATTTTTACTGAGTGTCTCCGTGGGAGTGGGGGAGTACCAGCATGGTAGACGGTGGCTTTACTTTATTTTTGGGGCAATCAGCGATCCAGTGAATAAATAGAGATCAGTGGTTCCAACCCAGATTAATGCCTTTACTTAGGATCACGAACGGTAAAGGTTACAGTTAGAAGTTGCAATTAGCTTACAGTTAGCATCAGCACACAGAACAGCATGTTAACCCTTTGAAACCGAACGTGTCGCCCGCGACACATTTCACAAGCCAACTTCAACTTACCGTAACTCTGCGACGGTTTGCGCTATCAGAAAAATTCAAACTGTCTTTGAAAGAAAATAAATTGCACTTTCAGACATGCATAGTGTTATTACGGTAATTGACTTCCCGCCGCTCCAGGAAGCCCGCGAATGCTAGTCTGTGTCTCCCTCTGCTGCACGGACGAAGAGTGCAGAGTGAGGAGGAAAAGATGAGCGACAGAGCGGAGAGTCAGAGTGAAGCGCATGATAATATGACTAACAAACGTCCTTCAAGAGATAAAAAGAAACCGAGGAGGTTCCTGGATGGTTTTGTGTTTGAAAAAGGAGATCCAGTTTTTTCTTCTGAAGAAAGGTAATGTTTGATCATTGAATAACATTTTGAATTTTATTTCTGAATGAATGGGGCTTGTTACTTCATGGATAATAGCTTTTACTTGGTACACATAATTGGATGTATTTATAGATTTATTTTCAATTTTATTTTGTTTTTGGAATAGTTTAGAGAGTATAAAAAAATAAATAAATAAAAAAAGAGTATAAGTTATTATAATATTCATCAATATTTACTTTGTGTAAAAGTGCCCTTTTGCTCACTATATATGACACTCCTAAGTACAGCACCACACTCTTCATGTATTCATGTGTAGCTTACTATGACTTTTTTTATTGCTTAGTGTGGATTTGAGACCAACTTTATTTATTTACTACTATAAATAAAAGCTGTCATTGCTGTGACAAACTTGTATATTTACTGTTTTTAGAACATTTTCTGATGAAGAGCAGCTGGCTCCAAGGGGGCGAAGTAGAAGAGACAGAATTCCTTCTGGAGGGTCTGCTGGAGGTCCTTCTGGAGGGTCTGCTGGAGGTCCTTCTGGAGGGTCTGCTGGAGGTCCTTCTGGAGGGTCTGCTGGAGGTCCTTCTGGAGGGTCTGCTGGAGGTCCTTCTGGAGGGTCTGCTGGGGTCCATGCTGGGAGTATGAGGCACCGCAGCCGTTCCCCACATCATCCAAGGTGGAAGACCCATGAAGAGCCTGATGAGAAAGGCTTTCAACCCCTAAGGTTCTTCCCCAAAAGAATCCCTGGTGTTCAACCCCCTCTAAATGTAGGAAATCCACAACCAGGTGAAATTTTTGAGTACTTTTTTGACAATGAAGTCCTCACATTAGTTTGTGATTTTACAAACAAGGGGGCAGCCAGGAACCTGGAGAAAGGGAGGAAGTTCTCCTGGACTGAAATAAGTCCAGGGGAACTGAAGAAATTTATAGGCATGCTGCTCTACATGTCAATCAGCCGCCTGCCAAAAATCAGAGATTTTTGGCGGACTGGAAGTATTTTCAGTCTTCAAACACCAGCTACCATCATGTCCAGAGACCGGTTCTTGGCCATTTTGGCCAATGTTAGAATGAGTGACCCAGAGGAGGATCAGCAAAATGATAAACTAAAGGGCACAGAAACATATGACCCTCTCCACCGGGTCAGGCCACTGATGGAGATGATTGGGACAAGGTGCTGTGCCTTATACCACCCAAGGCAGCACCTTGCAGTAGATGAGAGGATGGTTTCGACCAAAGCCAGGCTCAGCATCAAACAGTATATGAAAGCCAAGCCAACAAAGTGGGGCCTGAAATTTTTTGTATTGGCTGATAAAAATGGCTACACGGTGGATTTCCAGCTGTACACTGGAAAATCTAACGTGTCATCGGGAAAGGGGCTGTCGTTCGATGTTGTGACCACCTTAGTGAAAAAAGAGTACCTGGGCTCTGGGTACATTGTCTACACTGACAACTTTTACACCAGTCCTGTCCTGTTCAAACATCTGAGGCAGCAGGGATTTGGCGCTTGCGGGACATACAGGCAGGGAAGAGTTGGTGTCCCCACCACCACTGAAAATGCCCTCACCAAAAAGTCCCCACGAGGCAGCATCCGGTGGATCAGGGATGGGGAGCTTCTTTTTGTAAAATGGATGGACACCAGGGAGGTCTCGATGTGTTCCACCATCCACCCTGTTTACACTGGAGACTCTGTTCAGCGCTGGCAGAAGTCACCTGATGGGAAAGTACAGGTCGCTGTCCCCAGGCCCACTGCTGTGACAGAATACAATAAATACATGGGAGGGGTGGACACATCGGACCAAATGATTGGGACACATTCTATCCACCGCAAAACAAAAAGGTGGGTCACCACTGTGTTCCAACATTTGGTCGACATCGCTGTGACAAACTCCTTTGTTATTCACAAGGATCAGTGTTGTGCAATGAGAAGCAAGCAGAAGACCCGACAAAGTTTCCAGGAGGAGCTGGCAGCACACCTCCTAGGTGTTCCTCTTTATGACGAGCCACAAAAAGAAGCTGGGAAAAAACATCTACCAGTCCCATGCAGCAGCAACAAGCAGGCAAAGTCTGAGAGAGCAAGCATGGGGAGACGGCGCTGCAAGCTTTGTCAGAGAAGCACAGCCTGGAGTTGTGAGCTCTGTAATGTGGGCTTGTGCCTTCAGGTGGACAGAAATTGCTTCTGGGAATACCACCAAGGCCCAGGAAAATAAGGAGAAATGCAGAGAGGGGAAAATCGCCTGTAAATAGTTTTAATTGTTAGTCTGTTTCTTATTTGTAAAAATAATTGAGAATGAAAAAAATATTGTAAATATGTTCTATAGTGTTGAAATTGTCAATTTGTGATGCAAAATCTGTACTTCATGTTCAAATGCAGTGTTTTATTTGCATAAAATCTCCAAAATCTAATTTCGATTTTTGTTTTTTCTTGATATCAAACAGTTTTAATAGTGGTTTAGTATCAAGAATAATGTAAAATAATGCATTTATTGAAAGCTCTAAATGATTCTGGAAAAATGTGCTGAAGCACTTGGCCACAGGACTTTTTCTTCCTACTTTTTACTTTAAACAAGTAAAAAAAATGCCAGGCGGACTTTTGAGTGACAGGCCTAAAAGGGTTAAAGAAGATGCAGAGTTAAAAATGTCTCAGTATTAACAAACTGGCACATGTGATCGGCAAGGACATGATCCACACATGCACAGCAAATCTTGTCTTATGAATCCAGCGTGCTGGTTTGAATCATCATGTGCATGTTTGGGTCTGGTACTGTAGATCTAGTAGCTCAAACTTCCCAAAGATATGAAGTCTTTTAGTGAAGGAGCAGCGATGCCATGGAGGATCTTATACATCAGACACAGATTTATATGGATTACCAGATTTTCCAAAGCTGAAAAATGTGTGCTTTATGAGGAAATGACAGTGAGGGAATCGTCTGCCTTTCTTATCGTGGTTCTTTAGAGAACTGTTTACGGGTTTTCATCCTTAAGTTACCCTAACCAGAGCGGAGGATGTGGGATCTGGGGATAGTCATCCCAAGTGGATTACTATCTTGTGATTGGCTTATATAGGGAGCTCTGTGATTGGTGGCAAACATCCCCTGTTTAAAAAAATGCATTTGTGTATCGAGGCACGTCAAGGAAGCCTCCAACATCCACACACAAATGCAGTGAAGATTAAAAAGAGCATTGGTACTTTGTAATTTCATTTATAATTGTTTATGGACCAGAAATGCTTTTTGGAATCTTTTTTCTGTGTTTGGATCTTGCATGCTTGCATTAATCCTTTGTCCTTTGTGTGTGTGGATTTTTTGGTGCTTGTGGAATCGTGCTGTGTGTGTGTGTGGATCTTATCCTGTGCATGTATGAATCTCATATGTGTATTTGTGATAACTGAGACCGATCCAGGTCCATAGCTTTGCAATATGCAATAAAATGTATCTCCAAGTTTACCAGAAAGTTTAAGAAATAAATATGCTACGCTATATTTAAAATTCAGCATATCCATATTTTTCTGGAAGGATGGATGGAATAGAAATTTTACATTCTAGGGTTGCATGATATATCGATTTTGATATTGGAATTCATTACTTTTTTATACATTAATGTTTTTGGGTCCTATATTCTGTATTTAATGCAATAAAAGGCGTCTCTCTAAATATCTATAAATTTAAATATCAGTGTATTATGGTTCTCTTGTATTCTTAGTATTCAGTAAATGGATGTTTGAGCTCATTTTTGAAAAATACAAAAACCTAATGAAAGCGTTTGGGTGGAGTAACTATAGGTCCATCAGCCCCCACCCTCAGAGCGCCTCCACCCTCAGTGCGCCCCCACCCTTAGAGCGCCCCCACCCTCAGAGCGCCCCCACCCCCAGAGCGCCTCCACCCTCAGTGCACCCCCACCCTTAGAGCGCCCCCACCCTCAGAGCGCCCCCACCCTCAGAGCGCCTCCACCCTCAGTGCGCCCCCACCCTTAGAGCGCCCCCCACCCTCAGAGCGCCCCCACCCCCAGAGCGCCTCCACCCTCAGTGCGCCCCCACCCTTAGAGCGCCCCCACCCTCAGAGCGCCCCCACCCTTAGAGCGCCCCCACCCTCAGAGCGCCCCCACCCTTAGAGCGCCTCCACCCTCAGAGCGCCCCCACCCTTAGAGCGCCCCCACCCTCAGAGCGCCCCCACCCTTAGAGCGCCCCCACCCTCAGAGCGCCTCCACCCTCAGTGCGCCCCCACCCTCAGAGCGCCCCCACCCTTAGAGCGCCCCACCCTCAGAGCGCCTCCACCCTCAGAGCGCCTCCACCCTCAGAGCGCCCCCACCCTCAGAGCGCCCCCACCCTTAGAGCGCCTCCACCCTCAGAGCGCCCCCACCCTCAGTGCGCCCCCACCCTTAGAGCGCCCCCACCCTTAGAGCGCCCCCACCCTCAGAGCGCCTCCACCCTCAGTGCGCCCCCACCCTCAGTGCGCCCCCACCCTTAGAGCGCCCCTACCCTTAGAGCGCCTCCACCCTTAGAGCGCCCCCACCCTTAGAGCGCCCCCACCCTTAGAGCGCCCCCACCCTCAGAGCGCCTCCACCCTTAGAGCGCCTCCACCCTCAGAGCGCCCCCACCCTTAGAGCGCCCCCACCCTTAGAGCGCCCCCACCCTCAGAGCGCCTCCACCCTCAGAGCGCCTCCACCCTCAGTGCGCCCCCACCCTCAGAGCGCCCCCACCCTTAGAGCGCCCCACCCTCAGAGCGCCTCCACCCTCAGAGCGCCTCCACCCTCAGAGCGCCCCCACCCTCAGAGCGCCCCCACCCTTAGAGCGCCTCCACCCTCAGAGCGCCCCCCACCCTCAGTGCGCCCCCACCCTTAGAGCGCCCCCACCCTTAGAGCGCCCCCACCCTCAGAGCGCCTCCACCCTCAGTGCGCCCCCACCCTCAGTGCGCCCCCATCCTTAGAGCGCCCCCACCCTTAGAGCGCCTCCACCCTTAGAGCGCCCCCACCCTTAGAGCGCCCCCACCCTTAGAGCGCCCCCACCAGCTTTCATCACAAAGTTACACCCTTGCTGTAGAGTAACCTCTCTAATAAATAACATAGTTTTATACTTTTTATAAACTTCAAGTGAAGCATTGATGTTAATCAGCATAAAAGTTCTAACTTGTGAATATTTTTTTTCCATGCAGGTATCGTGATTATCGTTACCCTCCTGGACATGAGAAGGAGTATTCCCACACCATGCAGTTCTGGCATATTTTGGCTGCCAAGCTCGCTTTCATCATTATCATGGAGGTAAAGGAAACAGGTTCACCACTGTTCACCACTGTTCACTACTACAGGATTCCCGCTGGTCCTTAAAAAGTCTTAAAAGGCATTGAATTCTTCAAAATAAAACTAAGGCCTTAATTGGTATTAAAATTTCTTAAATCAGTCTTCCGTATGTCTTAATTTTTAAAACATCATAAATAGGATTATTTTTATTACGATTTATTTTTGTAATCTAAATAAAACGTTAAAATATAGGGATGCACGATATAATGGGCCCCCTATCGGTATCGGCCTTAAAACTGAATATCGGACATTGGCCACCCCACCGATATTTAACCCGATATTTGATCAGCTTCTGAGTTTTTAAAGTCTAAAAAAAAATAAAAATAAGTACTACTTCTTCTTCTTCCTCAAAAACTTATTTTTTACAGACTTAAAAACTTCTAAAGACGAGGGAAGAAATATTGATCCATTAAAATATCCCAATATCTTCATATGCTGATATATTGCCATTTAAAAACACCATATCAATCTCTTTTACTAATGAAATATTGCTATATGTCATCGTTATGCTACGAAATCCCCCGAAAATTCACCAATGTTGCCATATTTTTATATGTTGATATATTGACGCGGTATCGATCTATTTTACTAACAAAATCTCACAAGAATTTGCAAAATATCACGAGAGTTTGTAACAGAACGATGAAATTTCACCAGATTTTGAAAGTAAAATAGATCGATACCGCGTTTTTAAAAATCTATTTGATATCAGCATATGAAAATATATTTGAGTATATTATTTTTCAAAGTGTCAGAAATGGATAACAAAACTGCTATTTTCAATGACTACTTATTTTTGTCCAGCTTTAACATCGGTATCGATATCGGTTATCGGCTACATGAGTTTTAAAATATCGGCATATCGGATATCGGCCAAAATCCCAATATCCTGCATCCCTAGTTTTTTTTATTAAAAAATAACAGCTCTCCATTATTGGTTGCGTCCCGATAGCGGAACCAATAAAGCGTTGTTGCGGCCGGGACATTTGGGTGATGCACCATTAACTTTTTATCTGGAAAATCTGAGCAAGTGTAAATGTAACCAACATTGTCTCCAGCCAAGAGTTTCCTCCATGGCTAAAACCAGGGAACATACATGAGGCTCAGTGGATTTATGCAAGAAGTCATTCAAGCTCAGAACGATGGGAATTAAGGCAGTGGAGACGCACATGCGAAGCACGAAACATAAAGCGTCAAAATGGAGTTAGAGAGAAACAGGCGGTATTTCTCAGTTTAGTTCCACCCTTGTCTCTGCAACGCCTCCACTTATCACCAAATCAAACATACTAAGAAAACCATACAAAGAAAAATAGCTGCTAAAAAGACTTAGCACTGGTTATGTTGGGGCTTTAAAACTGATTAGTTTTGTTCCCTGCTAAAACAAAGTTTGTGAATTCAGTTAAATAATTGTTCAAATATATCTGTCATTTGTGTGTTTTTAGCTTTCTTCAACATTTGAAACATTAGTGCAGTGGTTTATGTTAAAATAAACCTTTGGGTTAAGTTGTTGCAAGCAGGTTTTTCTTGTGTTTCTTGTGAATTTGGTCTTAAATTTTTATTTCTAGTGGCATTAAAAAGTCTTAAAAAGTCTTGAATTTAACTCGCCTTATGCTGTAGGAACCCTGGTGTAGTCATCTTGACCCATAAAGGACTCTTATCTCTCTGGTTTTATAACATTGATCCCAGTCTGAACATTTACATGTCTTATCCTCACCAGTGCCTGTGTCTCTGCTCACTGGTCAGATTTATTTCCAGTTAAATCCTAATTATAATGCAATACAGTCTAAACAGGTTAATGGCAGCAATACGCCCACTAATGACTTCCATCATTATCTTCATCTCTTTATAATTCTAATCGCACTTCCTCTGCTGGATGTTGCAGCACCCCCTAGTTGCGATAGGGAGATTTTTTTTTTAAATGCATTGACGTGTATTTGGATTTTAATTTAATTATTTTGAGGCCTAATCAACACAAGTTCAGCCTAGTGATCTTGTGTTGATTGTGTAATGGATGTGGGAACTGTTCAATAACATTTAAATAGTGTAATGATGGAATTATTTCCTTGTGGTTTCGGTAAAAGTATTTGGAGCTAATAGAGTCACGTGTGACATAAACAGGGACTCAGGTTCATTCCAGCTGACCTGATCTACGCTGTTATAGTTTTCTATTCAGTTTATTTCTATAGCTCCAATTCACATCATGTCATCTCAGGTCACTTTCCAGTTCACCAGATCATCCAGTCAGATTGATTCAAAGTTTTCTATCTAAGGAAAACCAGCTGATTGCATCGACTCATTGACTCTTCAGCAATCCCTCACACTAAGCATGCTTGTAGCGACAGTGGAGAGGAAAAACTCCCTTTGAACAGGAAGAAACGTCTAAATAGGCCTATAGGCTCACAGGTCCTTTGTCCAAAAAAAACAAAAAATATTTCCTCAGCACCCCCTGTTCAAAAGTACTTCCAGCGGCTCTGCTCTGCTGTGAATTCATTTTGAATTTTTGCCTGAAAATGTATTTACCGTAAATCCTCTAATATAGGCCCGGGCCTTTATTTCACTCAAGTGCATCTTGGTCCAGGCCTTTATTGGAAGGAGGCCAGAATTAGAGACAGGCCTCTATTGCTATTTGAGCAAAACAGACTACCAGTGGAATGAATAAAAATGAGATTTTGTGTCTATTTGAACCTATAAAACACTAGGTTCATTTACTGAAAAAGTACAGTTACCATAACGGTATACAGAAATTTAACAACAAATAGCCTACCTGTAATTCAGGCTAAATTCCAGTGGAAAAAAACGTCGCAAACATACCAGTAGTGCAACTAGTGCAATGTAAACACTTAACCATACATGGTGATAATTAGGCTGTTTTATAACAAAAAGCAACTTACAGGTTTAGACACCTCCTCGCTCACTCAAATTGCCTTGCTTGGTGTAAAGTAAAAAAAAAAAATCCTCCAACTCTGTTTAATCCTCCTCCTCAGTTTCCTCCTCCTCAGTTTCCTCCTCCTCTTCATCTCTCCCTTTAATCTCCTCATCACTCGCGCTGCTCCTCCTGTTCTGCTGCGTGTCTGTTCTCTTCCTCGCGCAGACGGGCAGCAGTCAGGGCTGTGGTACTTGTATGTTACTACCACAAGTATAATGTTGAGGTATGCCCAGAAAAAACGTTTATAGCCCCGGCCTGTATAAGAGACCGGCCATTATTTACCTCCTCTGACAGCGAGACCGGCCATTATTTACCTCCGCCATCAGCGAGACAGGCCATTATTAGAGACCCGGCCACTAATGGAATACAGGCCAATATTAGAGGATTTACGGTATTTGATGAAGGCCTTTAGATAAACTGCACAAATATGCAGATGTTTTCTTATTATCTTAAGTTTCCATGGCAGCAATTCTTTTGCCTTCTTTCTTCACAGCATGTTGTTTTCCTGGTCAAGTATTTCGTGGCTTGGCTGATTCCGGACGTTCCCTCTGATGTGAAGGCTCGGGTCAAGAGGGAACGTTTCCTAGTGCAAGAGTATCTTCACAACTACGAAGTGGAGAAGCTGAAAATGCAGCTCAGCCAACAAGGCACCAAGGAATGCACCTGTTCTCCAATGATCTACCCGACTTTGCCCAAACATGAGGTGCTGTCAGAGGTCCTCTAGCGTAGCTAGCAGCTGATCAATCAGCAAAGCAGATTTCAACTCTATTCTAATACCAAAAATATCAAGTATCTGTTATTTAATGGGAAACCTACAGAGAACATTAGACTATTATCCTCCTCTATTCACCTGCTGACTGCAGATTCATCCGTTTCAAAGACCAAATCTCTGCATGCTGACACTTTGAGACACTTGAATTTAAATCTCTCTCATATTTATGTCTATTTGTATCATTAAAATAGAAGTGACAAAAAAATCAAGTTGTTCTGTTGTTTAAACCAGAAGCTGCGCTGCGTCCTTCAGAGACGGCTCACTATTGCGTTAATGTAGGGCTATTTATTTAAAGTGCCACTAAATACTTGCCTTATCGCGTGATTATTTTACCGATTATTTGAGACGATGTGAGGATTATGTGTTTTATCAGATTATATTTAGCTTTACTTTCTACAACGGAGTATTCGGGCCAGGATAGAGATTTTTTTTCTCTTATGAGAATAAAGTTGTAACATTACGAGAATAAAGTTGTAACATTACGAGAATAAAGTCATAATATATTCAGAATAAAGTCGTAACATCACGAGAATAAAGTCGTAACATCATGAGAATAAAGTTGTAACATTACGAGAATAAAGTTGTAACATTTCTAGAATAAAGTTGTAATATTACCTGAATAATGTCGTAATATTACCAAAGTCCTAAAATGATGAGAATAAAGTCGTAACATTACGAGAATAAAGTCGTAAAATTACGAGAATAAAGTCGTAAAATTACGAGAATAAAGTCGTAAAAGTATGAGAATAAAGTCGTAAAAGTATGAGAATAAAGTTGTAACATTACGAGAATAAAGTCGTAAAATTACGAGAATAAAGTCGTAAAATTACGAGAATAAAGTCGTAAAATTACGAGAATAAAGTCGTAAAATTATGAGAATAAAGTTGTAACATTACGAGAATAAAGTTGTAACATTACGAGAATAAAGTTGTAACATTACGAAAGTCCTAAAATGATGAGAATAAAGTCGTAAAATTACGAGAATAAAGTCGTAAAATTACGAGAATAAAGTCGTAAAATTACTAGAATAAAGTCGTAAAATTACGAGAATAAAGTCGTAAAATTATGAGAATAAAGTCGTAAAAGTATGAGAATAAAGTCGTAAAAGTATGAGAATAAAGTCGTAAAAGTATGAGAATAAAGTCGTAAAAGTATGAGAATAAAGTCGTAAAAGTATGAGAATAAAGTTGTAACATTACGAGAATAAAGTCGTAAAATTACGAGAATAAAGTCGTAAAATTACGAGAATAAAGTCGTAAAATTATGAGAATAAAGTCGTAAAAGTATGAGAATAAAGTCGTAAAATTATGAGAATAAAGTCGTAAAAGTATGAGAATAAAGTCGTAAAAGTATGAGAATAAAGTTGTAAAATTATGAGAATAAAGTTGTAAAATTATGAGAATAAAGTCGTAAAATTATGAGAATAAAGTTGTAAAATTATGAGAATAAAGTCGTAACATTGCGAGAATAAAGTCGTAAAATTATGAGAATAAAGTTGTAACATTACGAATATAAAGTCGTAAAATTATGAGAATAAAGTTGTAACATTACGAAAGTCATAATATTATGAGAATAAAGTAAGATTTTCTGAAACGGTTTGTGTTATGATGACTTTATTCTTGTAATATTACAACTTTATTCTTGAAATTAAAAAAAATTTAAAAAATCTTCAGCCTGGCCCTAATCCTCTGCTGTAACTCCCCCCTCCAGTAGTGGTATAAACTTACCTAGGCTCATTTGCTGTCCGGTCTTTGCAGCGTCGTGACCTTTTCTCGTTTTTAATTCTTCAGTCTTCTATCTTATTGTTAATCTTAACTGTAACCTCGTTATTTTCTTCAGACCCAAAGCCGAGATGTGAAATAGCGTTTTATTTTGAAGAGAAATCTGTGCTGCTGTTTCCTGTGTGACTAAAGGCAGGTTTGATCCTGCAGAGGCCAGTTGTTGCGTCGTGTTGCACGCTGGCTGTGTGCACGGGGATGAGAGGTGACGAGAGCGCTCATTGTTTCCATGTTTACCAAATCACAGCAGCTGAAGTCTTTGTTTGCTTCGTCACCCGAAGCTCATCAGCGCTTCGCCTGCTGCATCTCAATGCTTCAGTTTTTCCATAAGACTTTTTTCCCTTTTTTTGCACAAAGCACTTAAGACATAAATCTGTCCAATTTATCACAACACTATGCCTTAATGTTCAGTGTTTGTTGAAGCAACATGAGATATGAACCCTTTAGTTTGATCAATCTTTAATGTTTGGATGTTTCCTTTAGGTTTAGGAGCTATGTGGATATTTCACCTTGTTCTTTTGTTTCCTGAATGAAAATATGCCGGATATGTCTGTTATTGAAGCATTTGAATCTCATAAAGTAGCAGACCTCTAAAGACTGATGGAGGTGTTATTTTCTGCAGGTCTTCCAGTTTGCCTTATCTTCGCTCCTCTGACTGATGCCCACTTTGCCTTAAAACATTTCATCCCATTTTTCCTGACTTGATTTTTTTACTTGATTTTCTCAAACTTGTTTCCTGCTGTCATGATTTTGTCAGAACATGCTTTCAAAGGCAAAAAGTGAATTGTTTACTGTATTTTTTTTAAATGTTCATGTTTTCATTTTACTTGTGTAATTCGTAATTTTTTTATTTCCTGAATCTCAAATAAATCTTTTAAATGGAAGTTAACTCTTTTAGTTTGGAGTTCATGTAAATTCTTTGCTCTTTTTACTTGAAAAATATATCTAATGTTATTTGTTTTTTTGTAAATTGTTTCTATAGCGACAAAAAAAATTGTAGAATCAGCAGATATTGTACATATTTTTGATTCCTGGGGATCATTTGACCCTGAGCAGTGAGGAAACCTCAGAAAGGATGGTCAAAAATAAATGAATACATATATATTAGGGATGCACGATATAATGGGCCCCCTATCGGTATCGGCCTTAAAACTGAATATCGGACATCGGCCCCCCCACCGATATTTAACCCGATATTTCATCAGCTTCTGAGTTTCTAAAGTCTAAAAAAAAAATAAAAAATAAAATACTACTTCTTCTTCTTCCTCAAAAACTTCTTTTTTACAGACTTAAAATCTTCTAAAGACGAGGAAAAAATATTGATCCATTAAAATATCCCAATATCTTCATATGCTGATATATTGCCATTTAAAAACACCATATCAATCTCTTTTACTAATGAAATATTGCTATATGTCATCGTTATGCTACGAAATCCCCCGAAAATTCACCAAATGTTGCCATATTTTTATATGTTGATATATTGACGCGGTATCGATCTATTTTACTAACAAAATCTCACGAGAGTTTGTAACAGAACGATGAAATTTCACGAGATTCTGAAAGTAAAATAGATCGATACCGCGTTTTTAAAAATCAATTTGATATCAGCATATGAAAATATATTTGAGTATATTATTTCTCAAAGTGTCAGAAATGGATAACAAAACTGCTATTTTCAATGACTACTTATTTTTGTCCAGCTTTAACATCGGTATCGATATCGGTTATCGGCTACATGAGTTTTAAAATATCGGCATATCGGTCAAAATCCCGATATCGTGCATCCCTAATATATATTCATTGTTATTTCACATTTTTGTGTGAAAATGCCGGCGGGTCTGCTGGGGATGGCTTTCAGGGGTCAGTGGAACCAAGAGGAAGGAAGATCTGTGGTCCATCTGTGGGCTGTGAGGGTTTACTGGATAACGACGATAAGGAAATGATGATTTTTAATGTTGGTCAATTAAAAGGGAAGCATTAGATCTATATCCAGTCATTCAGCAACTATGTACATGGCTGTACATCTAATTTTGGCATTTGACCAATTAGATGATGATGAAGGTTATGTTGGACAAAATAAAATCTGTTTCTTTCACTTATAGAAGCACTTTTGTTATTGTTCCTAATATATTCGGGTAATTCGTTGTTTAATGTTATTACATTGACATTCATTTTTGCCATCAAAATATCCAGATTTTTTGAATGTTCCAAAGGAAATAAGGCTTTGTCCTGGATTCCAATAACGCTATTGACTGGAAATGTTGATTTTCAAAGTATTTCACTGAGGATCCTATAAAGGGTTAAAGGAACATTGTTCTACAATTCTGGATGATAACTTCCTTAGACTTCATTTTCTTAGTTTTATACCGGTAATTAATTATAACAGTGTCAAATTTAACTTTGCATCATCTGGAATGTGGTGAACAGTAAGTTGGTGCAGCATCTGGTTGGAACTAATTATATGAATTGATATGATATTTTTTATACATCAACAGGATAATGAAAATAAGCTTAAAATGAAACAAATCTAAGGAGTTGAAAGTAGAGATAATTGAAAAATAAAGTAAGGAGTATGTTTAAAAAATGGTCTAAAAACAATTATACCAGTAAAGTATTGATAGCCATAATTTCTACTTAAAGTAATAAAGTATTTCTTTGTTACTTGAAACCTCTGACAGAGTATTTAATACTAACTAAAATCCATGACTGATTAATTAGATTAAAATAGTTATAAATTGCATTAATTGATTAGAACCACGTCTCCAAAAAGCCTCATATAAAAGTGCTTCATCTGCTTCATGGAGAACCGAACTGCTTTGAACACCAGGGGGCCCCCAAGAGCCATTTGGCTCCTCACAGTTTCACACATTGGTTTCATTCATTACAAACGATTATTGTTTTTTTATACTCATTTCCAATTTAAAATGTCCAGTTACTTAAACTTATTTAATAAAATGTATCAATATAACATGCATTTCAAAGGTGTAAAAAAAAAAAAAGTGGAAGTAAAAATTGGACAGTTTAATGCAGAGCTACCACGATTTAATTGCTAATTTATACATATATTTATTTATTTATTTTTATTTTTTACAAAATAAAGATTTTTGTTAAATTTTGTTTTGTAAATATATGTGTTTATTAATCATGTCTATCTGTAGGTAAATATATCTTTGTTTTGTAAGCAAATCAGTAAGAACCAGAAACGCAATAGATAGATAGATAGATAGATAGATAGATAGATAGATAGATAGATAGATAGATAGATAGATAGATAGATAGATAGATAGATAGATAGATGCTAACTGCTCAGCTAGAAGCAGCTGGTAAGCTGTCGGTGCTTGTCAGCCTTATGTTGTGTCTTAGCTGAGGCTATATGGTCGTTTCTGCAGTTTATTTGGACTGGGTGAAATGTATAGAATTAATCTGGTTTGTTTGTTTAACAGAAGTTTGATTTTTTTGCACAAAAATAATTCTATCTAAATCAAATCTTTACTCCTGCTCTGCAAAGCTCTGACCTAAAGCTCTACCCATTCATTTAAATACAAGAATGTCATAAAAAAATAAAGGACTTGAAATAAAGAGTCTGACATATAAAGAAATAGATTCTAAAATAAAGATATACATTGTTTGAACAAATAAGCTAATATAAATATACAAATATAAAAATTCTGAAATAAAATGTGTTTATAAGCACCAGCAAATAACTTTTGCGCCTCCTTGACAGCTTTACGGAATGAATTTCAAAGCTTTAGTCCTACCTAAACTAACTAATGAATAAGTCTGAGGAAAAAAACTTAATTTAATGACTTTTCATGGTAAATGTCCTGTACTTACACTGCAAAAACGATCCAGAAATAAGTAATAATGTCTTAAATTTAGTGTATTTACCCTTAATTTGAGTAGGTAAATAAGATTATTTGCCAATAGAATGAGTATTTTTACTCTGAACATAAGATAATTAGATTATATGTACTTGAAATAAGACAATGCTATTTTTTTCTTATTTTAAATGTAAATTGTCTCGTTCCATTGGCAAAGTTTCTCAATTACCACCTCAGTTAAAAAAAAATGCACTTAGTTTGGGAAAAAATTAGTTATCAAATTTTCATTTTTTGCAGTGTAGAAAGCGCTTTGGTCAAGTCAACTTTACATTCATCCATTCATGCACCCAATGATGGTGGATGTCCCCCGGGGGCTTACCGAGGGCGCCGTACACTTGGGGGCCCCCGGGGCCTCTGACCACCATCAGTAGGCAATGTGTGTGGTGACAAAGCGGACGGAGAGCTTGGAATTCTGAGATTGCGAGTTCGAAACCCACAGACTGCCACTCTGGGTCCCTGAGCAAATGACCCTTAAAGGAATAGTACACCCAAAACATGATTAGCCTTCATTTTCTACTCACCCCCATGCTGAACAACACTCTGGAGTACTTTTTTGATATCTCAAATGCATCTGGAGATCTGGGAGGCTTCTTGCTGTCTGCTGACATTCAAATAATGGAGGTCTATGGCGCCCGAGACAGAAAGGTCCATAAAAGTCCACAAAAACGTGTCAATATTCCTCCATACTGCTCGTCCAATGTAATCCAAGTGTCCTGAGTGGGTAGCATCCAGAATTTACTCGAAACGAAGTCATTTAGAATGTTTTTAGAGCATAAACAGTAGTGTATAGGATTTCCTGAAAGCGCGTTCACGAGCCTACGGAAACCGCGGCAGACCAAACCAGATGAAAGTGCGCATTCAGCTCGGCAAAGAACTCATGCTCTTCCTCAACACTGAAGTCCTCAGACATTTTTCTTTCGTTGTTTCTTTCTTTGCACAGGTAAACAGCACATTTCTTCTTCTACGCTTGCATTATCGGCAGAGCAGACGCTGAATGCGCACAAATCCACAAATCATGACAGAATATTTTAGTAGAAAAACTGATTTTCTAAGTTAATTATAAGGGACCAGCAAAGGAAAGGGGGGGAATTTTGAATGGCTACTACTGTACATCCGATTCCACTGACGCCCCATTTGGCCTCAGCTTGCTCCACACGTACTCACCTCACCACCTGCCTCTTTGTTTCTGACTCTAACCTGTCTTCTGACCAAGTTCTTTATTTCTAGAGGATTTGTAATTGGAAAAATGCAGCAGAAATATCTTCCCAGAGGGTCATTCAAGAGTTTGAAAACACTGTTGGAGTTCAGATTACCAGTCAGTCACCAACCTCTTTGTCTCTATTTAGGCGCTTTCTTTCTGATCAGATTCAGAGTCAGAGTGGGCCTCCATCTTTCCACAGCCCCAAACATAAACACAGACTCTGCACAGGATTGTGTACTTAGCTTCCACAGGTACTATCAGCAACCACCATGATAAGCCTGTCATCAACAGGGTTGGCATAAAGGGGTGGCAGTCAGACAGTGAACCTCTCACCATAAATAGCAAATGTTTGGAAAGGAGGGCCATGTTTAGGTTCCTGGGTGTCCAAACCTCCAGCTACATCCTGGCAATTGTCAGGATTTGGTTGTGGTTTGAGGACCCAAATGCAGAGGCAGGAAGGCAGAGGTGAGGTTCTTGTAGATTTAATGAAAGGTTGACAGACAGCTGAGGCAGGAATCCAAAAATCAAACATGAAAAAAGTAAAACAAACCAGAAACCATGGAGACTTCAGGGGGAAACAATCACGACGAGGAAAACTCAGTAAGATGGAGTTGAAGGAAGTTAGATGAGGAACCAGCGCTGAGGAACTAAACAAGGAGAGTATTTATGGCTGACTGAACAAAGAGGCTAACGAGCAGATTGGGAGCAGGTGTGAAGAGAGCTGAAATATAACCAGAAAACACAACAAAGTAAGAATTAAACCAATAAAACTAGAAAACATGGAGCAAAGTTAAACTGAATACTCAAAAGAAAACATAACAGAACATGTGACAGCAATGGCGACGAAAGCTCAGCGCTGCTCCACTTTCTGACGATCGGATCCAGAGGAGGCAGCTGGCAACTATCAACACGTTCTCTCATTCTTTTCTTTTTTTTTGTTCTTTTTTCCGCCATTTGCTGCACATGTTCAGAAAGATCCAATTTGTTTGTTTCCAGTTATATGGTAAATGGGTGGGCAGGGGCGGATTTAGGAAATGTGGGGCCCTAGGCAAAGACAGGCAGGGGGCCCTCTGAATGGAGAAGACGACACATAAAACAGACCCATTCTACAGATAGAGAAATGTTATTAGAATCAAAATATTCTCATTATCAGTTCGTATGAAATCGTACAAAAAGTTATGCACACTATTTCGTACGTTTTGGATGTTTTTCCTCAAAAAACCAGATCAGTGCGCATGCGCTGGCAGACAGGAAAAAAAGCAGATCCGCGGACGGACGTAAAACTGGGAAAAACAGTGCAATAATCACTTATTCATGTTTCTAACTAGGTTGCTTGCTGTTTTATATCTTAGGGTTAGGGTTAGGGCTAATTGTAATTTATATTCTATGTTCTTGAATGGGGCTTAAGATGCGCATACAACGAAAAAAACGTACGAAATTACGGTGACTTTTCGTACAATTTCATACAAACTCATAATGAGAATACACTGATAGAATAGACATCCATTATCTGTTCTAGGTTGTGTCCCTCTCTTCTTGTCCCTTTTCTTCTTGTTTTCCTCTCTATGTTTTGTACTCAGCTGACTTTTCATGCTGTCTCTAAAGGAATGAAAGATTTTTTCCAAGCACTAAGCTCACTTAGCTGATTGCTCCTTCCTGTGTTTCCTAAAAGGCCAAAGTAAATAACCCAGTCCTTCTTTTCACTGTAGACAAGCCATGATCTGCTTCTCTGTTCTCCATTTTTCATTTGGATGAAATAATAGCTGCATGAATCATGACAGCAGACAAGATAGAGGAGAGCAGGAGGCGGGGTTACCAATCTACTCGCTCTGGAGAGCAGAGTTCGCTGCTTTTAGATGTTGTCTCCAAAGTCTCCAGTAGAAGAAAAAAGTCTCTAGATTTGGCGCTAGGAGCTTTTTAGAAATCAAAGTGCTAGAGGGGTCTGAAAAGTGGCTAAATATAGCGACTAAAGCGCTAAGTTGGCAACACTGCTCTTTGCATGGTTTGTTTTCAAATGGTTTGCTGCTGTCTGTTTGGACCTTTCTGAACATGTGCAGCAAATGGACTGATCCAATATGGTGGACACTGAAGACACAATTAATATTATAATTGTTCTGATGGCATTTTAGCCAAAGGATTTTTATCAAAAACATAATTAATGTGCTAAAATAAGGAATAGTTGTATTAATGTGTCACATGCTCATCAGGAGGTCAAACAGTCTTGGAGGTGGAACCCAAACCGGTTGAAAGGAGAACATGCTCCAAAGAGTTTTCAGCGAACAAGTCTTTCATTTTTTCTGGTGCAGGACATCAACCAAACCACACCAACCACAAGAATAATGGCAGACAGGTTTCTTATATAGAGGTGGAACTAAATTGGAAGAAACCATTTTAAAAAGGATGCTCAGCTGCAAAATAACGAGTTAAACAAAAACAAAATATTGTAAAGTGAAATCTATTTAGCTTTTTACAAAAATGAAGACAAGATGTGGCCTCCCAAAGAACCCCAAATAAATCCACTGCGCCCAAAGCTTAACAAATAAACCAATCTACAAAACCAGATCCTGAGTTTAACTCTTATTTTAGCCAATATACAGAATGGCTCATTGTTTTATGGGGCCCCCAGGAACTCGGGGCCCTAGGCAACGTGCCTAATGGTAAATGGTGAGTAAAGGACAGCGGTCCATCGCTTCCCGCTGAGAGGTTTTGAATTAGAAGTGAATGAGAGGATCGGAGGGAGGAGCTGACAGGTAGACGCGCTGCGTCCTCCGTGATGCTGCGCTCTCCTCCGGCTGCAGCCACACCGGAGATCCTCACCTCAGTTAAAACCTGAAATCCTCCTCATCTCACTTCTCATTTCTGCTTTTCTGCTTCCTAACCGCCGACGGGATCTTAATAAAAAAAGAAAAGAAAAATGGCACATCACGGATTAAAAGCGCGCAAGGCGCAGGCGGACTTATCTGACTGCTGTTTGCAGACTGTTTATTCTTCTCTCTCTGTATGAGCTTTCTGCTCCTGTTTCTCCATTTTTTCCCATCAGCTCCTTTTTTTTCAGGACATCGAGGCGTTTTTTCTACACGAAGAAAGAAGCGCGACAGTTGGAAAAAACGTTTTTCTTAACAATATGCTCCTTTATGCTGCTCTGCCTTTTATTAAAGTATTTTAGGTTTTCATTTTAACAATATAACTTAGAAATGGAGCCGGGGAAGGAGAACGCGCTCCCCATCAGGGAGGGGGTTAAACAGATGGCAGGAAAGGCCCTGGGGAAGCTGTACAGGTAAAGAATAAAGTCATTCTTTTCTTATTTCCATAGAAATTCTTATTAAATAAAATAAAAATCCCCTAAATGATGCGCACGTGTTTTTACGTGTTCTGGGTGGGATGGATCACGCATAGTGACAGCAGAGTCGTGTGGCCCCAATATTTAAGGATCAGCATTATTTCCCAGGAGGGTGCCCCCCCCCATCGCCAGGGGCCCGCGATGTTTTTAATAATTAATGAAACAGAGAGTCCTGACTCCAAGTCCAGGAGATTTTTGTAAAAGCAGCGGATCAGAGTTTAATCACCTCCCATCGATCAGATTCATTTCAACAAACATCAAGATTTCCTCTAAAAACTGGAGAACAGTTTGTCTCAAACTGCAAACATTTATATTTTATACATTTTTTCTGTAAAACGGATCGAATTACAATATGTTTAGATGTAATATAAAAAAAAACATTTTTTTTTTTTGCCAATCTTAGTTGCTTTTTTTCCCCTTTTGTTATTTAATGTAACCCTTTGTCTTAAAGCGCAGGCCTCATTTCTTATTTTATGTCTAAATCAGGATCCAGATGTTGAATTTAAAGCTGCAGCGCAGAAACGTGACTCGGTGCTGAGAAAAAAAGGCCTGTTTGCCAAACTGAGGGCCTCACATTTCATTAGGATCTGAAGACATTAAACATTATAGATATTTAGAGAAGATTTAACAAAAAACAAAAGGAAAACATATAAGGCCGCAACTAAAAACAACAAGGTTGAAATGATCTCTAAGCAGATGCTGCTGCAATGCGGTATGACGGTTTTTTTTTCTCTCCTTACAGCAAGAAAACGAAAATATATTTTTCTATTTAATGTAAAAAAAAATTAAGGAGAGAAAATGTATTTTTTGAAAGTAAAAATGGGGATTTGTCCTTCATTAAGAGAGAGACGAAGGTAACGTCTCATTTATAATAAGGTTATGGGTTTTTTGTGTGTAAAATAACCACTTCTGATCCTCTTGATATAATAATAATAATAATAATAATAATAATAATAATAATAATAATAATAATAATAATAATAATAATAATAATAATAATAATAATAATGAGAAATCCCTTGTTTGCATGAACGCCTGCATGCATCAGACATGTTGGTTATATAATGGTCCTGTGATGCAGGAGGATGGAGAAAAAGCAGCAAACAGGTGAGAGCATAGAGCTGACGGAGGACGGCAGACCCAGGGGGGAGCAGGAGCGCAAGGCTCCCCTGTGTGACTGCACCTGCTTCGGGCTGCCGCGCAGGTACATCATCGCCATGCTGAGCGGGCTGGGCTTCTGCATCTCCTTCGGGATCCGCTGTAACTTGGGTGTGGCCATCGTCAGCATGGTGAACAACAGCACAATCCACCAGAACGGCAAGATCATCATTAAAGAGGTGGGCGCGCTGACCACGCCCCCTTTCCCCTCCTAGTCCCTCATGTAGAGCCCTGCTTTATTTGGTCTTTTTATTCACTTTCTGGACAGTCATTTTTAGGGAAGAGGATTAGGACACTGAAAAAATAAAAATCTGATTTTAACATTTATTTTAGTTTAATATGGGTCATAATTCTGACTTTAGTCTCAGAATTGTGGATCCTAATGTAGAGGGACACCTTGGAGGTAGAGATGTGGGGGACTCAGCTTCCCTGACAAAGATGGGAGTTATTTGGGAGGAACAGGAACACTGAAATAATAATCAATAATAGAAGAGCAGAAGGTGATTAAAACCAGAGAGCTGTTTAGTCAGACATGGCTACATGTCAGAATTCAGTCAGAATTCAGAGTTTAATCTTATATTAAACTAAAATAAAATGTAAAAACGGCCCTAACCCCCTTCCGTATATTTTTCATTTACTAAAAGTTCAATAAGATAAATGCCTGTTTTGATATGCTTTTGTTTTTGTCGTTTCCCTTTTTTTTCTTCCTATAAGAAGATAATTAAATATTGTATTTGCAAATCGCTAAAATAAAAGTTTAAAAATATAGTAATCTAATTTTAAAATGCTTGATATATTTGTCTTTATTTTGAAGAAAGCGAAATTCAACTGGGACCCAGAGACTGTGGGAATGATTCACGGCTCTTTCTTCTGGGGTTACATCGTGACTCAGATACCAGGTGGTTATATTTCCTCCAGACTGGCTGCAAACAGGTAAAATCACACATCCTGCCATCATAGTTTCAGTTTATAAAAACATAAATGTGCTTTTTACTGTGTTTTGGGTACATTTTTATACTAAGCAGAAAAATCTTTAATAATTAAATGGTGTCTGATTAAACTAATTTCCAATTTTTTTTTTTTATTTGGACTCACTATTCAAATTTCAGCTAATTATATATTCTAATATGTAAGTCCTATTCATAACTTTTCCTTTTACATCATTTCTAATAAAAGCAGAAAATAATTATAGGCTAATAGTAATAAACTATTCAAATTAGATCTAACGAAGTGGCATAAAAACCAAATGCTTATGAAAAAGACGAAGGCCTCAAGCTCCAACGTAAATTTAACTTCTGCATTTAAACCAAACTAGAGGAAAAGTGAAGTGAACTAAAAACCTTTTTAAAACATTTTTTCCCCTGACACCTGTCATTCCCTGACAATGGCTGCCTCAGGGTTAGAAAAAGCCTGACTTGCTGCAATTTTGACTTCATTATTAAAAAAGTTAAACCTAAATCGATTTGACTTAGAAAAATGTATTGTCATATACAGGGTGTATACAAAGCAACATTTCATTCAGTAAAGCTCTCAGGACATTTCCATTTCCTAAAGTGCAGCAGTGATAAAATGTAAACATAAGACTGAGATATAATGAGATATAATGAGATATGCTGAGATATAATGAGATATGCTGAGATATGCTGAGATATGTTGAGATATGCTGAGATATGCTGAGATATGCTGAGATACGCTGAGATATGCTGAGATATGCTGAGATATTCTGAGATTTGCTGAGATATGCTGAGATATAATGAGATATGCTGAGATTTGCTGAGATATGCTGAGATATTCTGAGATATGCTGAGATATGCTGAGATATTCTGAGATTTGCTGAGATATGCTGAGATATAATGAGATATGCTGAGATATGCTGAGATATGCTGAGATATGCTGAGATATTCTGAGATTTGCTGAGATATGCTGAGATTTGCTGAGATATGCTGAGATATGCTGAGATATAATGAGATATGCTGAGATATGCTGAGATATGCTGAGATATGCTGAGATTTGCTGAGATATGCTGAGATATAATGAGATATGCTGAGATATGCTGAGATATGCTGAGATTTGCTGAGATATAATGAGATATGCTGAGATATAATGAGATATAATGAGATATGCTGAGATATGCTGAGATATGCTGGAATATGCTGAGATATAATGAGATATGCTGAGATTTAATGATATATGCTGAGATTTAATGATATATGCTGAGATATGCTGAGATATGCTGAGATATGCTGAGATATTCTGAGATTTGCTGGAATATGCTGAGATATAATGAGATATGCTGAGATATTTTGAGATTTGCTAGCTAATGATGTGTTTATAAAAGTCACACAAATGTTTTTCTTGATAATCACGTGCATGGACAATCAGCAATTACAAATTTTTCATGGCGATGTTACTGAACTACTTAAAAAAGGATCACATTTTCATAATCTATTATAGAAAGTTTGCATTTAAATGTCTATAGAGCTATAGCTTAGATAGGGAGGGTATTTACTCAGTAGCAGCGGCTTTGCAAAGTTAAGCCTGCTAGCCTGAGCTATTTAAAACCCAATAAAATATTTTCTTACTAGAATTTAAACCCCTTTTGTTTAGGGACACAGCTATATGGTGATTGCTTCTAGCTTCAGCTTTCCTGTCTTGTTAATCAGTAACAGATATTTAGGATTAAGACGTTCAGCTTGCTAAATCGTGTGACTGTAACTTTAGCGCCAAAGCAGATCAAATTTAAACTCTGTCTCAAACTTACAGTAAATGGAACTTTATTGATCTCACCATGAAGAAATGAACTCTCTGCATTTAATCTGTCCCCTTTGGGGAGCAGTGGGCTGCCATTGTGTGGCACCCGGCGAGCAATTGGGGGTTAAGCGGAATACACTTAAAAATAAAAAAAGCAAAGCTCTCGATTTTGCGGTCGATCTACGTTCCTACCCTCATCTATGGTCATAAGCTTTGGGTCATGACTGAAAGAACGAGATCGCGGATCCAAGCGGCTGAGAAGAGTTTTCTCCGTAGTGTGTCTGGGCTCTCCCTTAGAGATAGGGGGAGGAGCTCAGTCACCCAGGGGGGACTCAGAGTAGAGCTGCTGCTCCTCCACACTGAGAGGAGCCGGTTGAGGTGGCTCTGGCATCTGGTTAGGATGCCTCCTGGACGCCTCCCTGGTGAGGTGTTCCAGGCACGTCCCACCGGGAGGAGGACCAGGGGGAGACCCAGGACACGCTGGAGGGACTATGTCTCTGCTGGCCTGGGAGCGCCTTGGGATTCCCCCGGAGGAGCAGAGGGACGTCTGGGCCTCCCTACTGAAGCTGCTACCCCCTCGATTTGGACTTGTTATTCTTGACTTGTGAGTCAAGTCAAGTCTTTCACATCATGTCAATGGACCTAACTTAAGACTTGGACTTTCTTGTGATTTTGGAAGTAATTGACCGGTTCCACCTCTGCTGAGCGCCTCACAACAAAAGACATTAATGTTCGGCTGAACCGTCGACTTCAGGAAAATTATCATAAAAATGTTTGTTTTCTTTAATTGTTACCAAAAAAACGAGTCAATGAGTTTTGAGTCCTTATAGAACAAGGACATACTGGTTAACATTTAAACCATTATTTTTATATTGTACCAGAAGAAGAAAAAGATGCGATGGTCCTCATTGATGTGAATGTTGGGCTTGGAGAAAACCAGCAGATGAACTGGGATTTGGCTCATGCCCGCCAGGCGTGCCTCCTCATGTTAATGAGCTCCCATGGGACAAACCGTGTCTAATCCTTTATGTTGGGATGCATGGCAACCACACAAGCCAAAGCCTTGTGTGAAACCTGCTTCTAGGCAGTGATTGCAGTAAAACTGTAGTGGGTGTGGAGCTCACATTTTTATTTTACTGACGACTGATTAGTCAGGTGTTAGCTGAAGAGTTAAAGCAAGTCTGCAGCAAAAATCAGTTATTCTGAAAATGGTAGGAGGAGCTCAACGTGCTGGTGGGTTAATAATTAAATCTGATCAGATGAATGAAATAGATGAACATTTTAGGGCTTTATAAAGTCAGTTAAGTCCTGCTTAGCTTCATAATTTAATTCAATTCATTTTAATTCTATTAGGCAAATTCACATCATGTCATCTCAGGGTACGTTCCAGTTCACCAGATCATCCAGCCAGATTGATTCAAAGTTTTCAATCTAAGGAAAACCAGCTGATTGCATCGACTCATTGACTCTTCAGCAATCCCTCACACTAAGCATGCTTGTAGCGACCAGATGAAGCAGAGAGAGCAGAACGTTAGAGATTGAACTAACAGATTCTGCAGAGTGGGAGAATAGAGATAGAATGAAGCAGAATGATGAAAAAGGGGTCCCTATGTCCTCCAGCAGTCTAAGCCTGTAGCAGCAGAACTATAGAGATAGATCAGGATAACCTGAGCCACTCTAATTATAGTAAAATTTAAAATGAGATGTGAATATTTAAAGATCAAGTTATCTGGACACCTGGATGTCTTCTGCTGCCATAATGTCTTCTTTTATTACAAACAGGTTTTTCATGCCCTTTTTATTAAACTGGTACATGTCCAGACAATAATTATGGTTTTATTCTAACCTGTTACCGAGATGCTTGAACTCCTTCACTTCAGGATTCAATGTTATTTACCTATAAATCAATGACCGAAAGGAAAAGCAGCCAATATGTGTTTCCTTCGGTTCCTGTTCAGAACCGGTTCTGTGTGTTCCAATTCAATGGCACCGCTTGGCAGCTCGCTTAAAGATTCTCTTAACGATACCCTGCAGCACCAGAGCCTAGCACTGGGCAGCACGACTTACGTCACGTTTTTTATGCAAGTTACGCACACGACAATCAGTAAACAAGTACGACGTGACCAGGCGTAAGTCTAGAAAAGCTAAAGAAAAGGGGTGAAAGCGATGGAAAGTTTGGCTTCGTTTTAAGGAAGAGAAAGATGGCAACAAGGCGCTTTGCAATCTTTCAACCTATTCTCATTATGAGTGCGTATGAAATCGTACGAAAAGTTATGCACCGTAATTTCGTACGTTTTGGATGTTTTTTTTTAGTTGTATGTGCATCTGACGCACCATTCACGAATATACAATATAAATTACAATTAGCCCTAACCCTAACCCTAAGATATAAAACAGCAAGCAATGTAGTTAGAGACATGAATAAATGATGATTGCACTGTTTTTCCCATTTTTACGTCCGTCCGCGGATCTGCTTTTTTTTCTGTCTGCCAGCGCATGCGCACTGATGTGGTTTTTTGAGGAAAAACTTCCAAAACGTACGAAATAGTGTGCATAACTTTTCGTACGATTTCATACGCACTGATAATGAGAATATGTTGGATCAATGCAAAGTGGCAATTACATCCACAGGAGGAAATACATCCAACATTCAGAAACACCTGCGCGCATAACATGGCATTCATTTTAACGGATTACGTGTTTTTGATGCTACAGAAGCTAAAGTTACGAACAGCAGGGAAGGCAACTCGTTTTATACTAGTTTATATTACTGGCTGAGCTAAATGTGGTTCCTCATAAATCAGATGCAATTTCAGGACATAAACCAGTTTCCTATCTCTCTCTTTGAGGTTATTAAGGGATGTACTTTTCTCATTAATCCAGCCCTTCATTGCTAGCATGTTTAATTAGAACTACTGCTAGCTGGAATTCTTACGTGATTCTAGCTATTGCAACGGATGTAACGAAACATGCTACCAAGTTGCTCCTCAGTGCAGGAGAAAGGCGACAGTCGTTTATTTAAATCAGGGGGAGATGAGTTTATTTCCCAAAGTTATACAATAATGCCTTTACATTAAACAGAATCGATAAGAGAATCGATACAGAACCAAATCGTTTCACAGAATCGATAAGAGAATCGATACAGAATCGAACCATTTCACAGAATCGATAAGAGAATCGATACAGAACCGAATCGTTTCACAGAATCGATAAGAGAATCGATACAGAATCGAACCGTTTCACAGAATTGATAAGAGAATCGATACAGAACTGAATCGTTTCACAGAATCGATAAGAGAATCGATACAGAATCGAATCGTTTCACAGAATCGATAAGAGAATCGATACAGAATCGAATCGTTTCACAGAATCGATAAGGGGATCTGAATCGTGAAAATCTTATCAATTCCTAACCCTATTCTCAGGGTGGCTGGGCCCCCCCTACAGATCGGGTGAGGAGCACAGTTACCCGGGAGGAGCTGGAGGGATGATGTCTCTAAGCTGGCCTGGTGTCGCCCTGGGCCCCCCCCAGAGCAGCTGGAGGAAGTCTGTGCGGATCAGGAAGTCTGGGCATCTCTGCTCAGACTGCTGCCTCCAGGATAAAGCGGAAGAAAATGTGTGGATGGATTTTAACCAATCACATGTTTGTCTTTTTATGTTACAGGGTATTTGGTGCTGCCATTGTGCTGACATCCATTCTGAATATGTTCATTCCCTCCGCCGCTCGTACGCACTACGGATGTGTCATTTGTTTAAGGATTCTGCAAGGCTTGGTGGAGGTATTGATGCATCTCTCTTTGACCTTTAAAGCTGTTTGAATTGTTGCCTCATTTTCAGGAGAAGAGTTTTATTTCTGATTAAAACTGTCTTCAGCCACATTTCCACAAATCCCCCCATGCAAGTGGATTTGACTGTAAAATGGCACCTATTGTGATGGAGCTCCATTCATACAGTACATAGATTGATCAACAAACAGCATTAAAACCCTGAATAGCAGGGGTCCTGTGCAACGCCCCTCCATGCTGAAACAGCTGGAAACATGCTGAACAAAAGAGATAAAAACCACTTGATGCAGGCGGCTCCCTCAGCTCATTTCAGAGAGGAGAGATACGCTATTATCAGATTGAAGGTCAGCCTCTTTTGTCATTATGTTGAGCTGCACGCTGTTATTGCAGCCACTGCGGGAGAACCAACCGGCCGCGTTCAACGCCGCAACTTATTATGGTGAATGAAGTATTAGCAATTCAGCGTGTCTCCCACTGCAAGCCACCGCAATCTGTATCTATCAATAGTTGATTGTGTGCCACTTAGTTGTTAATGAAGATTTAATAGGAGCAATTCAGTTTACTTATTTTTTCATGACAAAGGAGTCGGCTTGAATTTACACCAGGCTATTAGTCCTCGTTAGAAAGGGCGCCTCCGATCCATGTCAGCGTGTTTGTTATTAACTCCGGTTTGCTCTACACGGCTTTCACCAAATAGGAAGAGACAACGTCGCTCAACGAGTAATTAGAGGGAACATGTAAAAAAAAACATTTACCCCCCAAATAAAAACCTTTAGTCACACTGTCTTTCTACAGACCTTGCTGTGTGATGTTGTTGGGATTTTATCTGATAGAAAACAAAAAGAGCACATAGAGTGAAAGCAGAGGGAAAGTGTAACAAAACATCTGGCAGGTTTTTAACAGCTGCAGAGCATTTTTGATCCGTAAAGCTAATAGGATTCAGCACAGCTGCGAAGTTCCAAGGACATGGCAGTCCACCTTAAGTGGAAGGCAAGGAGAGCATTATTTGGAAAGGCAGCAGGGTTACTCATTATCTTTGGAGGAGATACAGAGATCAACAGCTCAGGTGGGAGAATCTGTTGTTAGGCCCACTTTTATTTTTCAATTAACAAACAGGGTTTTATTTGATTTTATTTTTGGAAAAGCAGCAAGAGGGAATATTTTGTTCAGAGAAAGAAATGCAAAGATTGCAGTTTACCATAAGCCATGTCAGCGCAGCAGCAGTTATGTTAGTACTTAGTTAGTAGTGTTAGTGTAATTTTTTATTTTAGATTGATGACACACCGTTGTTTCCATGAAACAAGGGGTGCAGGTAATCTGCTTTTTTTCTCACAGGGACAGAGAAGTAGGTCAAAGTTGAGGGTGAGACGGGTTGAGTTAAATACTGGGCAGTTCTGCAGGCTAATCGGGACCCAACCTCATTTAAAACATTTATAAATTACCACATTTTGTCCTACGACAGTGTCTAATTTCCCCTGCGCTGCTTCTCCTGTTAATACGGTAAAGCCCTGGGGAGCGTCCGGCTCCAGGCTGCACGTGATCCAAATGAGCCAATGAGCTGTCAGTCTGGGTTGCTGCTGCTGCTACTTTTAGACCCAGCAGGCAAACCTGTGGCAAGCCGGGCGATGGGAAAGAAGGAGAAGACCATGAGAAAAAGAGAGCAGAGAAAGTGTGGACTGCTGGAAGAACTGCGGTGAACTGGTGAAAGAAAAGTGAAATGGCGTGCTCAAAGATGACCCTGCACATTTAGAGGATGTTTGGCTCAACCTGCTGCTGTGAAGCAGGATTCTCCACCATGAACAGAATCAACAATAAATCTGGATCCAGGCTCAAAATGAGCACCTTGATATGTGCTTGAGAATGGCTTAGTCTCCGGTTAAACCCAGGTTTAAAGCCTTGCAGGGCAGCCTAAAGCCCACTGCCAACATTATATAGGGTGACCAGATATCCTCTTTTTCCTGGACATGTCCTACTTTGTATACCTAAAAAAATGTCCAGGGGAATTTCAAAATCATTTGGTGTTTTAGTGGAATACAGTGCAGCAGAACCGAGCCGTCAGTTTCGGGGCTGGTCCAGGAACACCGGCGAACGGGGAGGGAGGGAGCAATTTTTTTTTTCCGGGTTCAAACGGAGCGAACGCACTTGACCCGGGGATCGGGTTCGGTCACCCCAGCTGGCTCCCACTCAAAAAACAAAACAAAAAGTGTCCTCCTTTTCAGAAACCCACATCTGGTCACCCAACAAACGCTCAGTTCAGGTGTTTTATAGAATATCTGAATCAGGAAATTGTCTTTATACCGAACTGAAAGATTGTTGTTCTCTACTTAAAAAAACATAGATTTTAAAATGGAAACATTTTCTATTTCTTTTAAATATTTTCTTTTATTTAAAAATTCAATGTATAACATGGATGCATAAAAATCTCATTTTATTTCAGTGTTAAATTCTGTTTAAAGTAACAGATTATAATCAGAAATTTCTCTGGACCTTTACTGGTTGATGATTTTCTTTATTCGAACCCCGCTTATTTTTAGTTTGTTACCTCTGGTCTACAGAAGACAGGTATGGGGCATTGCAGGCTAACAAAGAAGCCAAACGACCCCCATTCCAAAGGGGGGGACCCGTTCATCCATTTCTATTTGCATGTTTTCTAAACTAAAACCAGGCTTTGTTGGGCTGCTGGATAAAACCTGGAACTAAACGCTATTTCTGACATTTTGAATTCCTGGATGAAAGAGAAACGTCTTCAAACTTGGAAACAAAGTCCAGTGGAATGTTTTTAACTTTTTTAGAATGACAATGACCTGAATGACTGAGAATCTTTACCAGCATCCTGATACAATTCATTTAAGTTGCAGTTAAGAATTGCAAAATGTGAAAAAGTTCAAGCGCTACAAGCACTTCTTGCTATGTGCCTTAAATTTACAGATACAAAATAATCCGGCTTTTGTTTTCTTACTCTGCAGGGGGTGACTTATCCAGCCTGCCATGGAATCTGGAGTAAATGGGCCCCCCCACTGGAAAGAAGTCGACTGGCAACTCTCTCCTTTTGTGGTACAAAACATAAACACTTTTTGTTTGAAACCAGATCTGAAACTTGCTGTCACACAGATTTTATTAGATCATCATCTCTAAGACAGGTTTAGAATTACACAATGTTGATCCATAAGATTGTCTAGATTTTCTGTACAAACCACATAGATAAACATCACTATAGAGGGAGGATCACATTCTGCTGATGCATAAAAATGCGCTTTATGATAGGATCATATGCTGGTGCCGTGGTGGCCATGCCTCTGGCTGGGGTCCTGGTGCAGTACACAGGATGGTCCTCAGTCTTCTACGTGTATGGTAAGCATCACTTTCATGACTACGGAAAAATACATATAATTCATCAAACTGTTTCCTGAATCAAAACACATATTTTAATTATCATACAATCAATAATTCAATTCAATTCAGTTCAGTTTATTTCTATAGCTCCAATTCACATCATGTCCTCTCAGGTCACTTTCCAGTTCACCAGATCATCCAGTCAGATTGATTCAAAGTTTTCTATCTAAGGAAAACCAGCTGATTGCATCGACTCATTGACTCTTCAGCAATCCCTCACACTAAGCACACTTGTAGCAACCAGATGAAGCTACTATGAGAAAAAGCAGAGAGAGCAGAACGTTAGAGATTGAACTAACAGATTCTGCAGAGTGGGAGAATAGAGATAGAATGAAGCAGAATGATGAAAAAGGGGTCCCTATGTCCTCCAGCAGTCTAAGCCTATAGCAGCAGAACTATAGAGATAGATCAGGATAACCTGAGCCACTCTAACTAGAAGCTATAATAAACCCTGAACAGGTAAATAATATTCTTGACTTACAATGCCAGACATAAACCAAATGCCATTAAACTATGTTTTGCTGGTGGTGGGCAGTCAGCCACAACCTAAACCTTTAATTTGCTTCTATCTAACTTTATCAAATTATTCCAAACAATCCATTCTCTTAGTTTTGTAGCATTTCTCTTGGCTGTTAGTTCAATCTCTAATGTTCTGCTTTTTCTCATAGTAGCTTCATCTGGTCTGTTCCTGTTTGGCTGTGACTCCATCCTGGAGAGAAATATCAGCTGTGCTGCTGCCATCAACACCTTTGTTTCTAGATGTTGGAGCTTGGCCTGTTTTCCAGTGTAGTCCTGTTTCTCTGACTGTGACTAACTGGATGTGCTCTCTTGCTTTGCCTCAGCAGATGGCCGCTCACACTGAGCCTGGTTCTGCTGAAGGTTTCTTCCTGTTCAAAGGGAGTTTTTCCTCTCCACTGTCGCTACAAGCATGCTTAGTGTGAGGGATTGCTGAAGAGTCAATGAGTCGATGCAATCAGCTGGTTTTCCTTAGATAGAAAACTTTGAATCAATCTGACTGGATGATCTGGTGAACTGGAAAGTTGCCTGAGATGACATGATGTGAATTGGAGCTATAGAAATAGACTGAATAGAATTGAATAAATAATCAGCATCTCTGGTGATATATTTTATTTTCATGCCTTATGCTCTATTTTATCTGGAAATTGGATGCATATTGAATCTGAACGACTACTGATGATGTAAAGATGATGGAATGGTGGTTATATACTAGAGGATTGCTGTTGTCTTAACTATGCTTCTTGCTAATTGATCTCTTTATTCACACTGATCTACCTCTCAGTTACATTTCATATTTTAATTCTATTTGGGGTTTCTGTTATTAAAATGCGTAGGCATAAAATATTCAGACTTATGTATTTTTTTGCACGACGAGGGATAAGAAGTAGATTAGGTTGAGTGGTGCCACTGAAGGCCTAGGTACTATATCAGCCGTCCTCCACTTTTTTTTTTTCATATTCCGTCTCAGTGATTTAATGTTTGTGGTGATATAACTTCTTACATTCTTCTCAGGATGCTTTGGAATATTTTGGTACATGTTCTGGATTCTGGTGTCCTATGAGAGCCCGGCAGAGCATCCGACCATCACCGAAGAGGAGCGTCGTTACATCGAAGAGAGCATTGGAGAAAGTGCCCAGCTCATGGGCGCAGGAGAAGTAGGCTGTGACCCAGTTCATAATGTTTGATATGGAGCCTCTACCTCTCACTTCTAACTGAGCTTCTGTTTGCTGCAGAAATTCAAGACCCCCTGGAGGAAGTTCTTCTCTTCCATGCCCGTCTATGCAATCATTGTGGCCAATTTCTGCAGAAGCTGGACTTTTTACCTGCTGCTCATCAGCCAACCTGCATACTTTGAAGAAGTTTTTGGTTTTGAGATCAGCAAGGTAAAAAAAGAACTTCCATTTTAAAGTTAGCGTCCTATTACCTCTGTTATGATCACGTAGATGAAAATAATGTTTTTTAATTTGATTACAACATGCCCCCACCCTACCTTAAAGAACTTATCAAGCCACAGAACACGTCCCGCTCCCTTCGCTCCACTCACTCAAACCTGGGATGGGAGATGGAGCATTTTGTGCTGCGGCCCCACGTCTGTGGAATTCCCTCCCCGACACCTTGAGGGCGTCTCAGTCCACTGAGTGTTTTAAAAAAGGCCTTAAAACATTTCTTTTTAGCAAAACTTTTGGTCCCCCTTAGATGTTTCTTTTTTCTCTTTTAAAACAGCTTTTATTATTTTATTTTATTTTATTTCTTTTATCTCTATGTATTTCTTTTTTAATGCTTTTTTGTAGCACTTTGAGGCCTTTTTGGTAAAAAGTGCATTATAAATTAAATGAATTATTATTTTATTATTATTAAATTTGATGTGTATTTTGTACGACAGAGTATTAGGGCCAGGCTAGAGATATTTTTTTTATTTTGAGAATAAAGTCACAACATTACGAGAATAAAGTTGTACTGTTACGAAAATGAAGTCATCATTCAACAACCCGCTTCAGAAAGAAAGCTTGGAGCTCCGCCCAGCAGATAACGGCCGACCAGCTCCACCAATCAGCAACCAGAGTCCACTTTGACATCCTGCCCAGTTTGATGCTGCTGCTAAAAGATTTCCTGATTTATCAAACTGATGCTAAAGTAGAACTTCCCATGATGCTCCACATTCCTCATTTTAGGGAAGAAAGGGCTTCTTTTAAGATTTGTCATAACATTCAACTTTTTTTCTCGTAATTTTACGACTTTGTTCTCGAAATAGAATTAAAAAAATCTCCTGCCTGGCCCTAATACTCCGTCATAATTTTGGCACCAAATTCTAGGAACTAAAAGTTTTGATTTGTGTTTATCTGCAGACTGGCAAAATATCTACTGCTTATTTACCAAAAGTCGGGTATTTAGAGAAATCCAAAAGACAAAAACCTTTTATCAATTTCGATGGATGTTAAAGCAGAGAGTAAAGTCTGTATGTAGAAAAAAAGGGGCTAACAGAAGCAAACTCGAATCCCGGGGCCATCTGCCTCAACCAGCTGGATAGAAGAGACTCCATCTTGTGACAGAATGTGTATCAGTCCTTTAAAAAAAACAAAACGGCTCAAAAACCGTCCACTAACTATATCCCTTCGTTATTTTCACACGGAGCTGCAGTCTAAAGGTCGCCTTTTAGATTTGCTTTCTGTTTCTGAACTAAAAACATGCCTGCAAATGTACTTGCTGATGATAAGATATGCGTATTGGGATGGTTTTTGCTAGTGCTCCTCCGATTCCATTTTTTGGCTCCAATACCGATAAATGGCTGTGCAGTATTGGCCGATTACCATCTGTTTGAAATTGATGTGTGAGTATATATGAAGAACTGCATCCTACTTGGACGTAAAATAATCACCATCATGGCTTCATGTCCAGCTGCTGCCTTCCTTTGTGAAGCAGGAAAAAGACTAAAACAAAGTGAATCCAGTAGAACTTTTTATTGCCTACCTGGAATCGGTGACAATAGTTGAAGAAACTTTTGGCTCTCAAAATGGTATCAGTGCCCTATTTGTTTATACTCGCCAATATAGATACCACCATTTTAGTGCTGGATCTGGGCCCCGCCCGATACTGGTATCGGTATCAGTGCAGCACTAGTTTTTGCAGATATTTATTATAAACTAGACTTCCATCTGTTTCCTGAATGCAGTACAGGTCCCATTCCAAATCTTCTCATGTAATGTTTGTGGTGCAGAATTTTCTGGAAGGTTTGTTTTTTCTTTCCTTTTTTTAATCAGATTTTTCTTTAAATCAGGATAAGATGCATTATTACACACACTGTTGATTTGGTGTTGAGTTTCAACACCTTCAAAACAAAAGTCTTTTTTTTAGAAACCTTTTGGCCTAGTTTCATTCAACCTTTCCGGGTCTCTGTCAGCCTATCTCAGTCTGTCTGTAAATACTGTAAGTATTTTTATACCCTTTTTCTGTTTGATGCCTTTTAACGATACCATTCGGATCTGTTACCTAACCTCTCAAATAAATCATGGCACATGGCTGATCATGTCATCAGCCATTGTGCAAAACATACCACCAGAATGGCTGAAAATTATTGATGATATTCAGGATACCTGTGTCTGATGGCAGACATGTATTCAGGGACATTGCTAGCTAGAACCAAATGAAAGATATTTAAAAACATTTTTTTTTAAAGTGCATCCTAAGCGGGGTGGTGAGGGTTACTGGTGCCTATCTCCAGCTGTCTAGGGGCGAAAGGCGAGGTCCACCCTGGACAGGTCCATCACAGGGAAACACAGAGACAAACAACCGTTCACACTCACACCTAAGGAGAATTTAGAGAAGCCAATGAACCTAACAGTCATGTTTTTGGACTATGGGAGGAAGCCGGAGTGAACCCACTCATGCTCAGGGAGAACATGTAAATAGACCCCGGGCCGGGAATCAAACCCGGAACCTTCCTGCTACAAGGCAGCATTGCTACCCACTGCGCCGCTGAGCAGCCCCAATAAAAAACATAATAATAAATAAGAAAAGGGTTTATTAGGAAAGATTTATGCTCCCGTAACTGTAGAATATAATCATTTACACCCAGTTTTTTAATAATCTCATTCTTTTCTTCAGCCGCTGCCTCCTTCAGGTATGTCACCTTTAGAGTCTACGACTCACCAGGAAACACAAAAAGTTAAATGGACTGTTTACAAGGGCTTGTGCTAAAATGTGGTTGTAGTTTCGTTTTATTTTTTAAAATCTTTAATGAAAATAACTGCCTGGACAACACTGTCCAGGTAATCTGGAGTCGGTCTGATCTTTGAGAGAGAAAACCATAGGTCATGTTACCCTGTGAAGGAGAATTCATTATCATCAGGGTGAATTATTGCCTCTGGGAGTCAGAGATTGAAATGCATAAATGTATTTTGTTCCGCCGCCGTTTCCATGTTTATTTCTGCCTGTCTCAGAGTATTGTTGGATTGGTTTTCAGGTCGGTGCGCTGTCGGCTCTCCCTCACCTGGTCATGACCATCATTGTGCCTTTAGGAGGCCAGTTAGCAGACTACCTGCGGACCCACAACATCATGTCGACCACAAACGTCCGTAAAATCATGAACTGTGGAGGTGAGGCGTCTCTCTGACTCCTGTCTCTCTAATTTAATCTTTTATTTCCCCAATAAACTTGAGTCGTTTCCTTCAGGGTTTGGCATGGAGGCAACTCTCCTATTAGTAGTTGGATACTCTCATAGTAAAGGAGTGGCCATCTCCTTCCTGGTGATGGCAGTGGGCTTTAGTGGATTTGCAATATCAGGTAAGTCTTTATAAAAGTGGTTATTTTTCGAGATCATCTCTCAAATGTATTGAGACCAATAAAACTGTCTCCTGTCCTCCTGCTGCAGGGTTTAATGTGAACCATCTAGATATCGCTCCTCGCTATGCCAGCATCCTCATGGGCATTTCTAACGGTGTGGGAACCCTATCAGGCATGGTCTGCCCACTCATTGTGGGGGCAATGACAAAGCACAAGGTGAGTCTTTCTTTTGGGAATGTTATATAATACAAACTGGTGTTTTAAACCTCCCACTGAACAAATTAGACTTAGACAACTTTTATTGCCATTTTGTTTACACAGAAGGCCGGATCTATCAAAGGTTTGCGTGTATAAAAATGTGAGCTATTTCACTGCGCACGCTAAAAAATGTACAAACTGATCTATCAACAGCGTGCTAAAAGCATTTGGTCTTTAAAACGTGCTAAATAGCGCCTCTTATCCATTTAGTACTTTTTTTGCAATTAATATGCAATATGGGGCGTTTACACGCAAAAGTGCGTCTTGTGGGAGGAGAACATGTAAATGTATTAATTTAGCACTCGCAAAGTGATTTATTAAACCTGAAAGCAATTTTGCTAACAGTATCTGACTCTATATTTAACACGTTTCAAAAGAAGGTGCAAATGGTCTGTATGCGTAATTGCGCACAGATGGCAGCGGTTATTGTCGCAAGAAGGAGACATGGAAATGAAGCAAAGAGACGCAGAGAACGCATTTTTTCACTCCGTGTGAATATTTTTGGAATGAAGGAGGAAACGATCATCAAAACATATCGTTTATCCAGCATTGCCATTTTGGAGCTGTTGGAGGAACTCCGAATGGATTTGGAGCCAGCCACAAGGAGGACCCACGCAATACCAGATATCACAAAACTCCTTGCATCATTGCACTTTTTGCATCTGGGTCATTCCAGCGTACGGTTGCAGCGAGAGCTGGGATCTCCCAATCTCGTTTTTCAGAAGTGCTGTCCGACGTTCTGAATGCCATGTCGCCGTGACGCCCTACCAGAGAACCCCGACCTCCCCCCTGCGCCTGTGGAGCAACATGCCAATGCTGTGGGGATGCGTACGCGCAGTAATCTCATCCACAGTCACTTCCTGTGAGACATTTGGGATGTGCATTTTTCTACAGGCCAATACAAAACACCTGTTTTTCGTTTGTTTTTGTTTTTTTTTACTGCAGTGAAGTAGAAATTCAGCCACATACCACCTTAGGGAATAAAGGTTGCCAAAGTTATATATATATATATATATATATATATATATATATATATATATATATATATATATATATATATATATATATATATATATATATATATTTATTTATTTATTTATTTATTTTTTTTGGAGGGGGTGGGGGTGTCACTGTAAGATTTAAATTTCTTAATGCACTAGTTTGTAAAAACTACAAACAACTTTGCCGCAAACCACAAAACGCGCAAAACCATCATTTAAATAGGGCGTCTCCAACAGTTTTGCACCTGCCACCAGTTACGCAATCGCTCTTGTTAAATCACCCGCAAACCATGGTTCAGTCCCTCGCGCAAAATTCCAGTTTGCGAGCGCAAAATACTGCACGCAAAATTGGATCTTGATAAATCCGGCCCAGAGTGTATAGAAAGCAACATTTCTTTTAGTACAGCTTTTCATACAGTAAATTAACATTTCCATTCCATAAAGTGCAGCAGTGATCAAATGTAAACAGTGTGGGAGAAAAAAAACGATGGAACAATTTATTCGAACCTTTGAGGATGGGTTATTTATCATTTTGAAGGACTGTGAAATGTTCATAAAGGAAAGAAATTAGTTTTTGATATTCAATCAACATGTTCTAATATATGGCCCATTATTATCTGAATTTAAATAATATATAACTTAATAAAAAAAAAATCACTTGACTTTAGTTACATTTTGGAATCTATTAATCAATAGTAACGATCAAACATTTCTAGATAGAGTCATTAAATAAACACAAGCCTCTGAAATCAGCTTTTCTAACTGAAAACAATGAGACAATGTGGTTTTGGTTTAGATGACGTCTTTATTAAAGTAGGTTTCATAAAACTAAAGGAGGGAGAGAACTGTTCAATGGCCCTGGGAAAGATTAGCGATGTCTACAACTTGTTAATGGTTATAAAGCCATTGTAAAAAGTTGGAAAAGGTTTTGTACAAGCTGCCATTTCTCAGAACTGTCGTGGTTTTGGTTCTGTTCAACTTTTATCTCCGAGTTTCCATTGGTCTTATTTTCATTTTTGTGTTCCAGCTATTTTTGATTGTATTTGAGTTCTTGGATATTTCGTGTTTGCCCTCTTGTGTCAGTCTCCTTTTCCCTAGCTCCCTTCTAGCCTCCTCTGTTCACACCTGCTCCCAATCTGCTAATTAGCCTGGTCTTTGTTTCTCTCTCCCATATATTCTCCTCCTGTTCAGTCACTCTTGGCTGGTTTGCACTGTCAAGTGGAGATGGAGGTTTCACAGGGGGACATAAATGCAGACACTGAAGCTTAAGGTGGTTACTTGAAGATTTAATAATAAAAGGTTAACAGAAGCAACATTTGAAAAACATAAATCCTAAGAATTCACAAAAATAGAGAACCAGGAGTAATTACAACCAGGGTGCAAATAAATGACGGCAAACGAGCAAAGAGTGACTGAACAGGAGGAGAATATATGGTAGAGAGGAACAAAGAGCAGGCTAATTAGCAGATTGGGAGCAGGTGTGAACAGAGGAGGCAAGAAGGGAGCTATGGAAAAGGAGACTGACACAAGAGGGCAAACAGGAAACATCCAAGAACTCAATATACAATCAAAAACAAGTAAAACACAAATATGTAAATAAAACCAATGAAAACTCAAAGATAAAACTTAAACAGAACCAAAACCGTGACAAGAACAATCCGGAACTTTCAAAGTAAACTCATTCCAAGAGGAATCAACCAATCAATCGATATTAGAAACATGGGAGAGGGTGTGTTATGCGCTGGATTTTATTATTATTGGATGTGAACTTGTAAAATAATGAAAATATAACAAAACAAATAATAAACCAACCAAAAATGATCAATGTTGCTCAAGCCATGAAGAGATAGAATATAAACATTCAGGTTTATTATTAGCAAAGCAAATTACAAGTCATTTAAGTCATAATGATCTACTTTAAGTAGTAGCAGAAACTCCAGGGAACTATTTAGACAATCTGTTCTCCAGTGTTTACAGCTCTATTGAAATGCCAGAAGTCTTCGATAAGATAAGAGAGACAATTCCAAAGATTTTAAAGAAACGTTTTCACCATCCATTCTAATAGGAAGCCATACAATTCCAGCAACCGTGTCTATTAACCTATTTTTTCAAATTCAGGGTTGAAACGTCTTTTCATAAAGCAAATATATCTGTAAACCTGATCAACTTAAAAGCAGTCCATCTTTTATTTTAACATTTTTAAAATGGTGTCAAAAGGTTACACAGCATTAGAGTCTATAAATACCACGTCTCAACAATAACCGTATAAAATGTTTTTACAAAATGACAGTGACTCAAAAATGACAATTCAATTCAATTTATTTCTATAGCGCCAATTCACAACACGTGTGATCTCAAGGCACTTTCCAGTTCACCAGATCATCCAGTCAGATTGATTAATTGACTCTTCAGCAATCCCTCACACTAAGCATGCTTGTAGCGACAGTGGAGAGGAAAAACTCCCTTTGAACAGGAAGAAACCTCCAGCAGAACCAGGCTCAGTGTGAGCGGCCATCTGCTGAGGCCCACTGGGGTTCAAGGAGACAGAAGCAGTCATAGAAAAAGAAGCATAGATACAAAAGGCAACCAGCTCCACAGGCGGCCCCGTCCAGGAAACACACAGCCAGGCAGACGAGCTCCGAGCCAGCTCCCATGTCAGAGGATGAAGAGAGCACATCCAGTTAGTCACAGTCAGAGAAACAGGACTACGCTGGAAAACAGGCCAAGCTCCAACATCTAGAAACAAAGGTGGATTAGAGGAGACGCAAACTGTTTAGGGGGCTGCAAAGTACTAGTATTGTTCTACAATCGATGGCGATTTCCTACATTTTTATAGATCTATAATAGGGGTTGCCTCGCCCTAAACAGAAGCCGTTTCTTCCCCCCCAAAAAACCCCAAGCCTGTCTAAATCTCTCAAAGTCTTCTACAATCTAATAAAAAAACCTTCAATTTCAGGGTTAGTTTTGTAGACCATAATTAGCACAAAAGCGACTTTGCGTGACACCTGAAGAACTTTACAGCGGCACTGAACGATGGTAATGGTTAATCCTTCTTTAGATTGAAGGAATAGTACACCCAAAACATGATTAGCCTTCATTTTCTACTCACCCCCATGCTGAACAACACTCTGGAGTACTTTTTTGATATCTCAAATGCATCTGGAGATCTGGGAGGCTTCTTGCTGTCTGCTGACATTCAAATAATGGAGGTCTATGGCGCCCGAGGCAGAAAGGTCCATAAAAGTCCACAAAAAACATGTCAATATTCCTCCATACTGCTCGTCCAATGTATTCCAAGTGTCCTGAGTGGGTAGCATCCAGAATTTACTCGAAACAAAGTCATTTAGAATGTTTTTAGAGCATAAACAGTAGTGTATAGGATTTCCTGAAAGCGCGCACATGCGCGCTCACGACGCTACGGAAGCCGGCAGACCAAGCCAGATGAAAGTGCGCATTCAGCGTCTGCTCTGCCGATAATGCAAGCGTAGAAGAAGAAATGTGCTGTTTACCTGTGCAAAGAAAGAAACAACGAAAGAAAAATGTCTGAGGACTTCAGTGTTGAGGAAGAGCATGAGTTCTTTGCCGAGCTGAATGCGCTGGTTTGGTCTGCCGGCTTCCGTAGCGTCGTGAGCGCGCATGTGCGCGCTTTCAGGAAATCCTATACACTACTGTTTATGCTCTAAAAACATTCTAAATGACTTTGTTTCGAGTAAATTCTGGACGCTACCCACTCAGGACACTTGGAATACATTGGACGAGCAGTATGGAGGAATATTGACACGTTTTTTGTCGACTTTTATGGACCTTTCTGTCTCGGGCGCCATAGACCTCCATTATTTGAATGTCAGCAGACAGCAAGAAGCCTCCCAGATCTCCAGATGCATTTGAGATATCAAAAAAGTACTCCAGAGTGTTGTTCAGCATGGGGGGGAGCAAAAAATGAAGGCTAATCATGTTTTGGGTGTACTATTCCTTTAAAGTCAGTTTGTTCAAGTGGAGGAAATTCTGTATAGCTGTGAAATCCATCAGCTTCAACCAAAAACCTGAAAGAAAGGAAATTTTACAGGCTACAGAAGTTCTGTGTATCTCTCTTTATTTTTGTTGCCAGACCCGTGAAGAGTGGCAGTACGTCTTCCTCATCGCCTCCCTTGTGCATTATGGCGGTGTCGTGTTTTACGGGATCTTTGCTTCCGGGGAGAAGCAGCCGTGGGCCGACCCCGAGGAAACCAGCGAGGAGAAGTGTGGCTTCATAGACGAGGATGAGCTGGCTGAGGAGACGGGTGACATCACACAGAGCTACGGCGCCATGGGTGGTCCTGCTAAAAGCTACGGGGCGACGGCACAGCTCAACGGAGGCTGGGTGCAGGACTGGGACAAGACAGAGGAATACGTTCAGGAACCAGCAGGAAAGATTTACGCCCAGCGTGGCTACTCTTAGACCTTACATCCATGGTGAGCCTGCCTAGTAAACAGGCGCACCATTAGCGATTGCACAAGCGTTGGATAGAAATCTAGACATTTTTGTTTTTGTAGTTTGACATGAAATCTAAAGTAGTTTATTGCAAATAAGAAAAGTACTCCTCATTAAATTATTGTTTTTCATACGTGCATATTGTAGGGCTTCACTAAATATACGGAAAGCAGTTGCGACGCAAACTGCTGGTGTTTGCTAGGCACCCAAACCTCATTGATCTACTTGAACAACATGAGCCAGACGACACTGCAGATGACCATCAGGTAGGGCAGGGGTCGGCAACCCGTGGCTCCAGAGCTGCATAGCGGCCTGGAGCGTTTTCAAAAATGTTTGAACATTTTTATTTATTTGTTTGTATATTCATTATGTTTTCTAAGTGTAAACATATATTTCAATGAACATTTGCGTGATAGCCATAGAGATCAGTGGTCATAGCCTGCAACAAAGGAAGACAGCTGATGAGAACAGAGGATTCAAAGAAGAGTGGAGAGAATCATTTGCTTTCATTATCAATGAGGAAGGATTGCCTGCATGCAGGCTCGGACTGGGAATGATTTTCGGCCCTGGTATTGGCCCACTTATGGACCGGTTCATAAACCGCCTGGATATACGAAATATCGCCCAATTTCAACCAAAGTCTATTGATCTCTCAGGCCATAACTCTAAAGAAAAGCATTTTTTATCCATAGACGGCCATCCTAAACTGCCAGATTGGGAAAAATCCCAACCAATGCCCGTAAGACGGGAAACCTTAGCCTTTAGATTTAAAACCCAATCATGCATCGCAACATATTTTTGCAAAATATTCCAACATAAATTTTCCAAATTTATGACAAACATCGCAGTTTGGTTTAAAGAAAGCATTTTAGTTTTATTATAATTTAGTTTGTTGCAAGGATTTTACAGTTTGAAGAAATAGAAAAGGACACCATATGCTGACCGTCACAAGGAAGGGCTATACGCTCACCGGCCACTTTATTAGGTACCCCATGCTAGTAACGGGATGGACCCCCTTTTGCCTTCAGAACTGCCTCAATTCTTGGTGGCATAGAGTCAACAAGGTGCTGGAAGCATTCCTCAGGGCGTTTGGTCCATATTGACATGATGGCATCACACAGTTGCCGCAGATTTGTCGGCTGCACATCCATGATGCGAATCTCCTGTTCCACCACATCCCAAAGATGCTCTATTGGATTGAGATCTGGTGACTGTGGAGGCCATTTGAGTACAGTGAACTCATTGTCATGTTCAAGAAACCAGTCTGAGATGATTCCAGCTTTATGACATGGCGCATTATCCTGCTGAAAGTAGCCATCAGCAGTTGGGTACATTGTGGTCATAAAGGGATGGACATGGTCAGCAACAATACTCAGGTAGGCTGTGGCGTTGCAACGATGCTCAATTGGTACCAAGGGGCCCAAAGAGTGCCAAGAAAATATTCCCCATACCATGACACCACCACCACCAGCCTGAACCGTTGATACAAGGCAGGATGGATCCATGCTTTCATGTTGTAGACGCCAAATTCTGACCCTACCATCCGAATGTCGCAGCAGAAATCGAGACTCATCAGACCAAGCAACGTTTTTCCAATCTTCTATTGTCCAATTTCGATGAGCTTGTGCAAATTGTAGCCTCAGTTTCCTGTTCTTAGCTGAAAGGAGTGGCACCCGGTGTGGTCTTCTGCTGCTGTAGCCCATCTGCCTCAAAGTTCGACGTACTGTGGGTTCAGAGATGCTCTTCTGCCCACCTTGGTTGTAACGGGTGGTTATTTGAGTCACTGTTGCCCTTCTATCAGCTCCAACCAGTCTGGCCATTCTCCTCTGACCTCTGGCATCAACAAGGCATTTCCGCCCACAGAACTGCCGCTCACTGGATGTTTTTTCTTTTTCGGACCATTCTCTGTAAACCCTAGAGATGGTTGTGCGAGAAAATCCCAGTAGATCAGCAGTTTCTGAAATACTCAGACCAGCCCTTCTGGCAACAACAATCATGCCACGTTCAAAGTCACTCAAATCACCTTTCTTCCCCATACTGATGCTCGGTTTGAACTGCAGGAGATTGTCTTGACCATGTCTACATGCCTAAATGCACTGAGTTGCCGCCATGTGATTGGCTGCTTAGAAATTAAGTGTTAACGAGCAGTTGGACAGGTGTACCTAATAAAGTGGCCGGTGAGTGTATACTGCATGCATCTTTTAGGTAGTTAACAGTGGCTACGTTTACATGGACACAACTAATCGGATTGAAGGCCTGATCAGATCAAAAATGTTTCATGTAAACATGTCAGACTGAAGATTCTAATCCGATTCGGTCCGATCGGATCTAAATTTAATTCCGAAAGAGAGAGGTGGTTTTTGCCGATCGCCATTCCGATTGGCGTCCATGTAAACACCCATTCGGATCTAAAGAGTAAAATAATCTTCACTGCGCATGTGTGCGACGTCAGCGTGACGTTTTTCCGCCTTGTCAACAACAGGAAACCACCGGTCGCTCTCGCTCTCGCTGTGAACAACATGCGGGAGGAGTCTAGGAACGCCGACTTATACACTCAAGTTCATTTAAAGCTGCAGGAAGCAGGAATTTATCCTCCTCCTCTTCCTCTTCTTCCTCTCCACAGCCCACTCGCTCTCCCACGCCGGTTCAATCGCTCATTCTCTACATTTTCTCTCTGACATTTCGCTGCCAAGCGCTTTTTTCCTCCTCTCTCCGTTTTTCTTTCCGCTCGCTCCGAGCGCATCGTTTGTCAGGCCTCCCAAAAACCAGATGCAGACAGAACTGCCAAGTTTGGCAGGAAGTTCTGCGCATGCTTAAAAGATTTAATCTGATCCAACGCTTGGTACATGTATACACACGTCATGATCGGATCATTTCATTTAGTGTCCATGTAAACGGAGATTTTGAATTTCCGATCAACCAAGGTTTGGATCGGATCGGGGAAATTTTGCGCATGTAAACGTAGCTACTGACTTATTTACTGTCACAGGTAGAAGCTTCTTCCAGAGAGGAAGTGTTGGGGCCGGTATGATTTAAGGAGGGCCGGCCCTCGCATGCTGACATCAGGACCGGCCCATCGGGAAAATGCCCGGTTTAACAGTCCGAGCCTGCCGGCGTGTTTGCTTTGAATTGACAATTTGTCAAATTACAAAAAAAGTCATTTGGAAAGTAATTCCCAGGGAAGGCATGCTTAATATGCAGCCGATCACAAAGTTCGGAGTGAGGAAAAAAGAGTTGGATTGAATCTCTAAACTCCATTACTGCTGCTAGTTTGGTTGCAAGCATTGAAAACCGTTCATAGATGGAACAGGTGGCGCTCTGCTGCAGGGATGGGAAACTTCTTCCATTTTTTCCCCCAAATCCTAAAAATCTAAATAACACCAAGGAACGCCGGTGACGGAGGATGTCGGGTTTCAGGGTTAGAGAAATCTGCTCTGATGGATGTCAGTTCCTGTTTGGTTCCTCATGACTCCATCAGCTCCTCCCAACAGAAACACTTCCACCACAGAAAGATTTCTATAATTTCACCAATGCAACAAAACCTAAACCGTGCCGTGAAGCGGCGCGCGGTGAGAGAATTCACTGCGCCACCCTCACCTGTCACTATGTGACATTTGCTCCAGGATAAACATTTAATCATGAATGCTTATTATATATTTAAGCCCATGTAGTCGTATTTTGTAGTGAGCCAGTAAACTTAGAGCCCGTGTTGCCATATGAGGCTGAAAGAAGACTTTATTGCGGCTCCAGACATGTTTTTTTGGCTCTTTGAAGAGCTTGGGTTGCCGACCCCAGACGTAGTGTCTTTCTCTTAAATACTACTCTGATTGCACTGAAACTATAAGTGTTCTAAAACATTAAAAATGTGTTTTATGTACTGTATTTATATATATATATATAACTGTATACTGTTTCTGTGAGACTATCGTGGAATTTGGGTCATTGATCTGTGTTAACATTAAATATATAAAAAGGCCATATTTTTCATGGACAGTACCTCCTCAGGGAGACGTCTGCTTGCAAAAAAGGTCTTCATATTGTAGTGAGGCCTACAAAACATTATGATACAAAAACAAGAGTGAGTGAAGCTGAATTGTAGAGCTCTAGTGTGTGTTTGTTGCATGAATTTGCTCAGATCAATGTTACAGACGCTTTACAGTCACAGATAGTTCTCATTTAGCCAACTGCTTTGCTCCTAGCTGGGTGTCTGCTGCCATTATGAATAATAAGAGGAGTTTCATAATAAAGGGCGTGGTGAGAGACAAATCAAAAGCCAACTGCTCAGAAAAAAAAAGACGTTTCTTGATGTTTGGTGTGCACTGCAATAAATTCTGTACCAGCCATCACACTCTGTTCTGTAAAGTAACACAAGCTTGCCATATGTAGTTGTACTTCCTTTTGGCTCATGTGATAATCAACATTAAGGTGTTTGTTTTAACAGGTTTTATTGTCAGAAGAAGACACCTTTATTGCTCTTTATGCAGATGATGTTGTTGCAATTGGATGGCGGGGAACACAGAGCTACACGCAAACCGATCTCTAGATGTTCCTCCGTTGTTGCCATGGACACCGCCTGTACTTTTAGTGACACTGATATTGTGACATATGGGTGGACCAATGAACTGTTAGATGGCTCTTCCACTGGACTTGATTTGTTGTTTAAAGCACTTTTTGTTTTGCTCTTAAGAAAGATGTTAAAAATATCTGAATATTTAAGAATGTTTCCGACGACCAAAATATGGCTTTGTGCCTGGAGTTTATGTAAACAGATAAATGGGATTTTATGGCTTTATTGTGTGCAATGAAGATGTATGTTGGAGTCTAAAAAGTGTTATAAAATGCTCATATTTTATTTAAAAAAAAAACAAACCCTACTTAAAGTCACATTTGGTCACATGTTTTGGTGATTTACTGTATCCTGCACAGACAATCTGTTTCACTGGTTAACCTTGTGCAAGCATCTCCTGCTCTTTCCATGTTTCTCATTAGTAAATCAATATCGGAGGTCTCTGGAGAGCAGGACAGATTACTGGAATCGGCAGTCGTTTTTAAAGCATGTGCCTTTCTACAGCTCTAGAACAATGATCTAAGGCTACGTTCACACTGCAGCCTGAAGTGACCCAATTCAGATTTTTTTGACCATATGTGACCTGTATCTGATCTTTTTATGACAGTCTGAACGACACATCGGATTTTTTCAAATGCGACCCAGACCACTTGGATATGTGGTCCTGAATCCGATACGTATCTGATCTTTTCAAATGCGACCTGTGTCTGTGCGGCCAGGTCGCATTCATCCGACCTACACGTCATTGATACTTGACAAATGTTACTAAACGTTACTAATCTGCGTCCTACTAAGCGGAGGTGGGAAAAACTAACAACCATGGCGGAAGATAACACAGAGAGCAGTCAATGGAGAGAAAGTGAGGTTGCTGACTTAATTTATATTTGGAAAGATAGCTCGATTCAGACCAAACTCGAAGGGTCTTACCGGAACCGGGTCTTTCTTTTTGATCTTCTTAAAAAGATTTTGTTCGTAATGTGCCTGCTCCTGTTGGAGAAGAACTTAAAGAACGCAATATACGCTGCGGTATTACGACTCATGTTTACTTCCGCAAACATTGAGGACGCTAGCTACATGTGACGTCATCGCGTCCTCGAGTGCGCATGCGGGACACTTCGGTTGAACGCTTTCAGTTCACACAGTAGATCACATACAAGTCGCATATACTTGGAAGTGTGAACGGACACGCAAAAAAAATCC